TGAAGCTGCCTTTTTCCAAAAAACATTACTTTGGGATTAATGATTATCCCAAAATGAAGACTGTTGAAATCTAGTTTCATGTTATTGAAGTTTAATCAAGACATTCTGTCCCTTAAATGGCTCTGGCAAAACATTAAGCTATTTGTTATAGCAAAAAAAAAAAAGCTTCTAAAAGCATTTTTAACAAAATTGTAATCAGCTTTCTATCGCCTCCACGCTGAAAAAAAGAAACAATTTCTTGTTGTTCTACTCACACTCAGGCCATTCAAGGTGATTTTTTTTCTTCTTCATCAGAACATTAAAGACATTTTAAAGGCCCTGTGATGTACTTGTGAAATGTGAATTTTTGTTGTATGCGTCACTAAATTTAACTGAAATATGAAGATAGGGTGGGATATAGAGTAGCTCCTCTTTTTTTTACAGCTCTGCCACTGAGCGTGGTTGAGCTCATGTGGATAAATCAATAGCATCTTGAAGAGGGCGGGACATGATAGATACTAGAGAGCATTTGATCGGTCAGAAGATGAGAAACTGAATTACACTTTCAGAAAAAAAGGTGGGGGTCATGGGGGCTCAGTGGTTAGCAGTAGCACTGTCGCCTCACAGCAAGAAGGTCGCTGGTTCGAGTCCCGGCTGCACAAGTTGGCATTTATATGTGGAGTTTGCATGTTCTCCCCCTGTTTGCGTGTGTTTCCTCTGGGTGCTCACCACAGTCCAAAGATATGCACTATAGGTAAATTGAATGAACTACGTTGTCCATGGTGTATGTGTGTGAATGAGTTTTTTTTTGGGTGTTTCCCAGTGATAAGCAGCCGGTGGAAGGGCATCCACTGTGTAAAACATATGCTGGATAAGTTGGTGGTTCATTCCGTTGTGTTGACCCCTGATGAATAAAAGGACTAAGCCGAATGAATGAATAAATGAATCAATAAAATCAAGGTACAAAAGTGGTCAATGGGTCGGTGTCTTTTCAAAAGGTACATTTTTTTACTTTACAGCTGCACATTAGTACCTTTAAGGTTCACTTTTGTACATGTATGGTGCTACACGGTACAGATTTGTACGTTTTAGGTATTAATATGCACCTTTAAGGAGTTGGGAGTTAGCTGTTGGTAACAAAAAAAGCACTTTTTAAAAAAGGTACTGCCCCAGTGACAGATTTTGTACCTTTATTACTAAAAGTCTATAGTCACATTCATTTTTATTGGATCCATTTAGTGACAAACAAGTGACAAGACGGAACTGCAAGCTTTGGATGTTTACATCTCTTTATGTGACTGTTGTCAGTTTTGAAGCACACTAGATTTATACATAACGTTAAGAATAATATACTGATACTAACATCTAATATATATATGATATGATATATATATTTTTGCTTTATTTATAGAGCACATTTAAAAACAACAGATGTTGACCAAAGTGCTTATATATATATATATATATATATATATATATATATATATATATATATATATATATATATATATATATATATATATATATATATATATATTGATTTCATGGGGACTTTACTCAAACGGTGTTCCTTGGAGAATTATAAAATAAAGATTCAATGTCTACTGGCAACTTTGAGAAAAAAACATTTAAAAATACATAGGCAAAAACAACTTCTGGCGGTACACTAAGGTCTTAGAAAGGGAAACAATCAACTAGAAAACGCAAATACCTTTAATCCAAACAAACAATGTCAACAAACAGAGTCAGCTCATATAAAGGCTTTTTCACACAGAGCAAGTTTATGGTGTGGTGACAATGGAGCAATTCTCACCATGCACAATCAATCACGACATGACAAAGTAAGATTTTTTTTTGTTCAAGCTGCCCTGCAATGTATTGGATGGCACTATTGAACAGAAAGCAGTGCTAAAAACTAGTTTGTGTTATGAAATTCCATGTTACTGCAGCTTCTCTGCGATGGACTTGGATTTTTGCTTTGGTAAGTTTGTGTAGAGTTTAATCAAATTTAGTAAAGTTTTTGGGCTTAAGAAGGTGTGTTGGTTTTCTTCAGGTTTCATTACCATAATAACAATGCTAAACAGTTAATCTGCTCTGAAGCAAAACTGGACTGATCAGCTGTGCGAAAAGTGACATACAGTATACACTCACCACCGGCCACTTTATTAGGTACACCTGTCTAACTGCTCGTTAACACACATTTCTAAGCAGCCAATCACATGGCAGCAACTCAATGCATTTAGGCATGTAGACATGGTCAAGATGCACTGGGATATGCACCTTGTCAACGCGTGAATTATCTCAGACTGGTTTCTTGAACATGACAGTGAGTTAACTGTACTAAAATGCCTTCCACAGTCATCAGATCTCAATCCAATAAACGGGAGAGTCGTATTATGGATGTGCAGCCGACAAATCTGCAGCAACTGCATGATGCTATCATGTCAATATGGACCAAAATCTCTGAGAAATATTTCCAGTACCTTGTTGAATCTATGCCATGAAGGATTAAGGCAGTTCTGATGGCAAAAGTGGTCCAACCTAGTACTGGTAAGGTGTACCTAATAAAATGGCCGGTGAGTGTATATCTGATGCAATAAAGCCTCTAGTCCCCAAGTGTCTTTTTTTGCTCCAAATAAAAAGTAATCCACTTGTTAAGTGCTGACGTATGGAATACTGTTTGCGGGACCAAGCCGCTACTCATTTGAAATGAGAAAATTGTCATTTATGATTACTTTTTAGCTTTATCAAACATTAAAGTGAATCTCTTTCAAAATCATGGTGCAAATAATGGTGTGACAAAATGTATCACTTTCTGGCCATCTGATATAAGGCATGTATGTACATATATATTGTGATCATGATTTTGAAAAGTATTACAGTGCTCCCCGTACAGTTCAACTGAGTGCTTGAACCTGAAAGCTGCGTTGTGGGACGTCAGACTCAACAAGCGTATTCACGCTAAAGGCATTGAGGAGTCAAAATTGTGTTTTGTTGCAAATAATTTATTCATTATTTATTATTTTATTATTGTTATACTTGAATAATATATATACAAATAATTTTGAATTTAAAATTATTTAGTTCTAGCTTTACAATTAAAATTTATATTTAAACATTTACATAGTAATAAATTTGCTGTAAAGTATATTAAAAACAAATGAGTTGATTGATTTGCACTGATGTATTATTTTCCTTAATTTTAATTTCTTCTCAAATTTTTGCTGCATCAGCATTAGTGTTTATTGTGCATTTAAACTCATATTTCTGATAGTGATATCTCTGAATCTTCAACAGAGATTGCTTCAATTGGTGACCCAAACTAGCTGTCTTATGTGTCATGTTATTGGCTGTTTACGCTACATGACACTTTCAGCGGCATGTGGTCCAGAGTTCATCACAAATTATGGATTAAACAGAAAATGTATGTGAATGTGAATCTACTTAACTTGATCTTAACCAGGTTTGATTTCTTTGATTTTGTTAACCTGTAGATTGTTCAACCTCACTTGTAGATTGTTCAACTTCACTTCAATTGTTCAACTAACCTTGTAGATTGTTCATGTAACAGGCCTCTGCTGTTTCTTAATTCACTGATGTGTATTGTGCAGTGGATGGGGTTAAAGTCAAATAATAGGGGGAAAATGACAAGGAAAAGAATAGAAGATCAGGATTAGTGTCGTAGTGGGCAGGCTGCCCAAAACAATTGCACTGTTGTCATTTGTAAAACCTCCCATACAGGCATGAATTTGCCATAGGCGATAAGTCATTTCGTGCTCAGTGTGAAAGCACTGTTCGTCTGTGATTCACCACACATTATCAGGTCATGCTCAGTGTGAAACGGCCTCAAGTCTTTATATGCACAAATGTCATTATGCGTCAGCTCACATTCCACTCTAACAGAGGCTTGAATACAGCTAATAGTGCTGATCACGGGCTGATTGTAAGCTTCAGAAGACCTCAATGTATCATCAAGAGCCACAGGTATTAAGGCTATTTTGCAAGCATATGGGTTTTTTTTTTTGCCCATCAAAGTGTCAGCAGTAAAAGCAGTAAAGTCAAATACATCTTGGATAGTCTGGGGGTGAGAAAATGAAAGTGTTTATTTTTTAGGTGCCTTTAAGGAAAAGTGGCAGCAAAACAGGAGGCACCACAGGTGGGACAGACAGGTTTTCTCAAAGGACAGGTACACATAAACAACAGTACCCAAAGGAGATGTTGACTGTTCAGTTTGATCAGGCAACTTTGATATAAATAGATCTGTTTTTCTTAAAATTCACCTAAAATGTTTCACCCAAACATTCTTTTGGAGAAATAAAAACAGACATTGCATATGGAAAGAGCAATGAAATGTAACATAACCTTATAAAAAATATTAAAGGAAACTCTGAAATTTTGCTATCTAATCAAATCCAAGCACAGTGAGAGACAATAAGGTCTTTTTTGGAAATTTTCTCAAAAAAAAAAAAAAAGATTGAATAAATGAATGAATGAATGAATGAATGAATGAATGAAGCAGGAGGGAAAAGGGATATTTTCCCAATTTGATATCAATTGTTTTAAAAAAATCTGTCTAATTTCTGGAACTTTTTTCCACTTGATGAAACTAAAAGCTGATCTTCAGATAAAATTTAACATGAATATTCTATTAAATTATAGGCCTACTATTATTGTTGTTGTTAATATTAGGAAACTGAGCCTATAAATAAATAAATAAACAAGCAAACGAACACGCAAGTAAGCATATGCTACAGTTCAAAAGTCACAAAATTACAACGTACCATTAAAATCATCTGATTGTTAAAGATCCCAGGGTGATGCCTGCAAATGTTACATCAATATCTTCTTTTAAACGTGCACACGGCAAGTTATTGCAGCCTATAATGTTGATTAATCACCAGTCAGACAATATCGCAATGGCCATTTCACATTTGCGTCAGTAGTGAACTCGCATGTCTCGAATGACACCGACATCAGGAATGATCCACCTGAATAAAGCAGCTGATACCATAATGCTTTACCTCAGCTTGTCGGCGGCTGCAAAGCGTAGACTGTCGCCAGTCCGAGTCGTGCCGAATAATTTTCCCGAACCGCTGCAGCTGGACTGCGGGCTCGATTTTCCTCCCGCGCCGCCGGTGCAGAAGTGAAGTCGCGCGAGGACCGCGGCCAGAGCTCCGGGAACACGAAAAAACAGCCGGTTTTTCTTGCACGCAGACACGGTGCCAAACCGATCCGCACCCCGGGGATCTAATTAAACGGCAAGGCACGGGGGCGTTATAGTGAAACGTTTATATAGATATTTCGCCAAGCTATGCGAAACGACGTAGAGTAAAACACCCGCACAGGAAATCCGACTGCATCCCCAAAAATCTATTGCATAAATAGTGCATGTGTGTGTGTGTGTATCTGGAGCTGGAAATCTCTCCTCGGTTCTTGGGTTTTGGAACAAACCCACTTGAACCCACATGAAGCTTGTTTGTCAAATTCCATAGAGGATTGGGAGCTATTTTAAAGTGTTTCCGATACGGATATTTTCTCTAATAAAGCAGTGTGCAACGTCTAAGTTACGAGTTTTATATTGTCCACAGACTCATAATTAATATAGGATTATAACCAGTGTATTAAATTAATGTGTCACATCAACAATTGCTGTATTCCATTGCAAATATCAAACCCACTGTTTACCAGTTTAATTCATAAAAAACACATCTTTTTATGAAATGCAATGCTAATTTCATTCTAATTTACCCGAAATATTAAATTTACAACCCACATAGAAGTTGTAGCTACATGTGTGAATTAAGGCATGGAGAAATATTACAAATATTTAGCCTTTATTTGCGTAAAAAATAAACTGTTAGTTCAATTCACAGGGATTTGTAAAGTTTATTGGGGTTTCGGATTTATTCGGATCTATACGCAAATTTCTTGAAAATGAAAAAAAAAACTTTCTTCTATTATTGTTTCATGCATTCATTGAAAGTCTGTTTATTCGGTTATTCATTCATTTTAGAGGTAATGGTTTGAAAAGTAGCCTATGTCGCTGTTTATGCGCTTTTCCCCCAAAGCTACTGGTAATCAGATTGAAAACAGAAATATATGCTGGATATGGGTGTTGAATATGTATTGCAACCTGTTCGGAATAGCAACACCACACAAGGTCAGTGGGACTAAAACCGATTTTGTTTCGCTCTGCAAAATCAGCCTATATGAAGCATGAAAGTCATGGCTTACGTGTTTTGTGGTAAACAAGAAAAAAGCCCACAATCCGGCATATTACTTAAATGCAAACGACACATGCAACGAAAATCAGATTTATATTCAAGAACGGAGCGAATAGTTGTTGCTTTTGCAATGTAGTGCGAGTCTAATTATTGTCCACATTATTGTTTGATCAGTATTTTTGTTAATGTTTCACAATCGGCTAAAATCGTTTTAAAATGACAAAAATACATATTTTAAGTGAAAAATATATATAAAACTATTTCTAAATAACTATAAGTAACTTATTTACAGTTTAGATTTATATATTTTTTAAAAATCTATTAATAAAAAAGATTTTTAATCCTCCAAAATAAAACAAAGGATTTATATTCACATAAATCCACATTAAAAAAACTTAGCTTTTTGTTTAATTAAAACGATTAAAGGTTAATTTGTTAACTTGACCCTGCCTGGACCCTGAACCCTCATTAGACAAAAAACATTTTTTCTGTAGAATTTTCTTTTATTACCAGATCATTAACAAATATTCCTTAAAATGGGCTAGGTTATGAAAATATGATGGGAAAATCTGTATTGTTTTTTTTTTTTTTAATCTCCAAAGGCCCTTTAAGTACCTTCAGAGGAATAAAACATATTAGTTATTTTATAGTGTTATATGTGTTTTATGGTCTATGAAGCCCAGTATTTTCAAATGATGATGCAGTTGCAGAAAAATAAGAACAAAATCTAAAATCATTTAAAAAGTTATTTTATTTGAAATTATTTAAATACAAATAATATATATTTTCCATTTACAATGACAGTTTTTCTTGTAAACAAAAGTGGCAGATACTGTTTACTAGGCAATTCAACCCCTTTTTTTTCTGGCCGGTGAGTTTCTCTGTGTGTGTATGTGGAGACAATTTGTCATCATCTGTGCACATCAGAACTCAGCATTAGTTTCTGAGGCTACAATCTTTTTTTCCTTCTTTCTTTTTTTGGAGCTATAACACTAAAATGTTTATTTATCTGTAAAACCATCATCATTTTATAAAACTTTGTGAACGTGAGTTGACATGCAGCCAAAATATGACACTTTCCCTCCATCAGTAATTGAATTGCTTATGCTAATGTGTGGAAATAAGTCAAATAAAATTGGATTTTCTACTGGTGTCTGCAGTTTTAAAATTGTAACAAATTAGGGAAAAATACAAAATCCAATTTCATTCATAAACTCAAGATTTAAAAAGAAAAGAAAGAAAAAATTAACATTATATGGAGAGATTATGTTTTATATGCATTTCAAATAATTTCTGTCAGCTTAATCTCTCCTCAACCAATTTACAAATGAACAGACCGGAATAATATTTTCACAACCACTAAACCAGCACTTCCAATACACTGTCAGACCTTCCACTGGTGCAAAATAACATTTAAATTGGACGAAAGTAATTATATCTAAAAAAAAAAAAAACGCCCTTAATCTTGAGCCCTATTGCCATCCACACTTAAAAACAAAACTCGAAAAACTTGCAGAAATAAACATTCCCAACACTCGTATTGATGGTTTCATTTACAAACCATTTGCATTTACTGAAAACTCTATACAGTGAATAAGGCGTTTCTATTTGATGAGAGTGGAATGTAAGATGATATCATCTAAATTAAAGAAAAAAAATAATACAATTCTGAGACGAGGCAAAAAGATCCAATTTCTTTTTGGATGTTTCTGATTTTGATGCAACTGTACTTGTGTACGTTCGTACTGAAAATATGGTCTCTGTAACAACTGCAGTTGTCTATTTTCAAACCTGAAAAAAAACGTATTAAAAAAACTAAAATTTGAGTCATGTTTTTACATAGTGCCAAAAAATTCTTATTTGTGGAACAGCAGGACAGCAGTTTTAATTGTGAGTTAAATCTGTAGGAATGACTGCAGTCATTTTCTATGAAGCTGAGAAAATATGACAAAGCTGGAAGAAGAACTGTGAGATTCATAAATGCATTAAACTTCCACACTTCATAACCAACCGAGGTCATGGTCACTCCATCCTATGGTTCCTGCCAAAGCTCAGAACACACATACCACGTCTCTGTGGTTCACTCCAGAGAACAGGATTCACACAGCCTCATAAAAGTGGAGACACCTGGTAAATCTGATATCTAACAAACTACAGAAAACTACAAAATGAGAAGGTAGAAAACCCTTGAAGCATAAACAGTGAGATTGAAAATGAGTCGTGAGGTGTGGGATTTTTTTTTTCTCTTTTTAAAGCGGAAATCTGGTTTTATTTATTCCGATGCATCTTTTTCGTCAAGTGGAGAGGAATCTGAAACACAGCTGGAACCCACAGATAACCATGGTGAAAGCCCACTGATAACGACTGGATGAACGCAGGGAAAGAGAACCGAGTGTTTGACTGGCGAAATAAATGTGATTCATGAGTGTTTTAAACAGGATCATGGGGCGTCAACGTCCTTGTCTCCTGTTTGCTTCTGGTGTGTATGGTGGCCCAGAAGTCCGGGGCTGTGTGTGTAGGTGTGTGTGTGTGTGTGTGAGCGGGCACATGGGTGTATGAGCTGTGCTCAAGTTTGCATGAAATGATTTTAGTCGTTGTCTTCTTCGTCTTCCTCAGACTCCTCAATGCCGTCACTGTCCTCCTGGTCATCCTCCTCTTCCTCAGTTTCTGGGATGTCCCACTGCGGGTGGTTATCCATCATGGCCTTCGCCTCATGAACCTCCAGCTGACAAAAATAGGTTCAAAAAAGTTATGATAAAATTTTAAAAACATATAGTTGAAGTCAAAATTAGTCACCCTCCTGTGAATTTTAGTTTTTCTTTTTGAAATATTTCCCAAATGATGTTTAACAGAGCAAAACAATTTTTACAGTATGTCTGATAATATTTTTTTTTTTCTAGAGAAAGTCTTATTTGTTTTCAGCGAGAATAAAAGCAGTTTTTAAAAAATTGTAAACAATTTTTGGTCTAAATTATTAGCCCTTCTGATAATACCCAACCCCTTCTGATAAACCCAACCCTCATAGGAAACTTTGAATGTCAAAAGACCCAGTTTAAAATCATTTGTAAGCTTTTTGCATTACGAGGACACAAGAAATGTCCTCATAAACCACCTCAACTTTGTAATATCTAGGTCATACCCATGTCTTTGTACAAATATGTCCTCATAAACCCCCAAAACCAGTACACACACACTTCTTAAAAATATACATTTTAATGATCATTAATAAATTATTAATTAAATACAACATTATACACAAGAGCACCAGTCTGATGGACACCAATTCTGGATTCTGACATATTTCTGTAGTGTTAAAGTGAAATATAATTTGTTTTACACACACACACACACAAATATATATATATATATATATATATATATATATATATATATATATATATATATATATATATATATAAATTAAGTTTTACAGCTATACATAAATATACAATGCAAACCTGGCCATTGTTCTTTTGAATGATTTACTTAGAATACTTTACTTATATGAATACTTAGATACTTATATATATATATATATATAATCAAGCCAAAAGGCTGGGCAAATGTGAGATTTTCTAAAAGGAGACATGGCATTCCTCAGCAGACATTTCACATTACCGGAAAACCAATACAGAAATTAAGGTCGATCTCACTCCGAAGTTGATCTTTCCCTTCTGTATATTGTACTGTATGCAGATATACTATGTCAGAGTTTAGAGTTTGCTTTGCTTGGGCTTTCATGGAGTTTAATGTTCCCTGCATGGGGCAGTCAGAATAGTACAAGCAGAACTGCTGATTTATTGATTTCTTTTCGTTTCATGCCGTTCTGCATTATAATCCTGATCTGTTAGAAACAGCCTTAACAAAATATTTAAAATACTTTTTCAAAAGTGACATTTTTGAATTAGTAAACACTTTTACTCGTCTATCATATTCAACTGTAGATGTAAATCCAGGATGGAAGAGAGTAGTTTCTTACACAAAAGGGTTTGAGACACTTTGTGGTTGTTTTTACTTAAACTCCCGGTGTTGAACTGTATTAATTGTATAAATGCAATATCGCACTTGGTTTTATTTTCTATGAATCAGTTATCATGCAATAACATTCAACATTTGTTATCATAGAAAATGTCTTGATATTAAGTTAGATATATGCATAAATAGACAGAGAGACAGACAGACAGATACTGAACATTTTATAAAAATCACAAACGAGCAGAAAAGCACTGACCTTAAGTGGCTTGATCTGATCTAGTCCCATGAACGAATCTGATCTGAGAATCACTGAATATTGATAGTTTCCAGTTTTGGATGGAGCAGGGAATTTCAGTTCAACCTGAGGAAAACAGGAAGTTATATAGTCACTGGTTGCTTTCCACAGCTCAGCAAAATATAATAGACTTGAGTAATTGGGCGATCTGGGCTGATTTATGACCCCTGTGTTTACATCCGTTCATTCTCCTGCTCCTCACAGAGAGGAAGCTCTCGCTGTCAGACTGAATCATGACAGGCGTCTGGCGGCCCAAAAACCAGACACACACTGCAGTATGAAGGTTGCCTGGCAACAGGCGACGGGGGAAAAAAAAGTGCTGCACTGGTGCTCCATTCAGCCACACACACACACACATACATACACAGCCTTCCGTTTCACTACATATAATGACAGCACACTATTCTCCAATTCAACTCCTACAGTTGATTTTGCTAGTCGAAATCCCAGTTCTAATTGTCTTGATTTTCCCACTGTTAGTTAACAACTTTCCTTGATCAGTCATTTATGGGTTTAAAACAATTCACTCAAAATACAAACGTTAATAGCCAACTAATATAAAAATTATTTAGATGAACTTAAATTTGAAATGAAATAAAAATATCAGATATGTAAATAGTAGGCTGGGTGACTAATTGAATGTGATTAAGTGTAGTGATGGGAAGTTCAGATCATTTTACTGACTCTGACCTTCGAGTCTCGCTCAGCGAGGTGAATGAATCTTTTTTTGTTTGTTTAATTTGCCAAAATATTATTAAAATGTTCCGAGTTGCTTCCAAACTCATCTACAACTAGCCCAAACGTTGATCACACTGCAAACAAGTCATAACTAAAATGCTATAAGAAAGAGAAAATACTCATTTATTGTTCAGCTGGTATTTTGTCTATGATTATGTCAGCCCACCTCTTCTGACAGGTCTTCAAATTTGAATAGTTCATTTATGTCACACTGACAGTCCCATATAAGCTATACCAGTGCACACAGTCTGAGCCAAAGGAGCCATGCTTAGTTCCCTTATTTAAGTCTTCTGGTTTTTGAGTCATTCATCATCATTTGACAGCATGTAAAAAAAGATGACTCAAACCCGAGGACCTGAGAAATGAACAGATGAAATCTTTTTTCGGTTCTAAATTCAAAGGATTGGCTTCTGTCTATCACTTGCTGAACGAACGACTCAAACCCGATAGTAAACTCGAAAACAGAACTAATCTTCTACTCGACCTGCACAAATGTGCAAATGCGCAAATGAACGAATCCCTCTCTGAGGACTCATCATTCTTGAGTCATACAAAAGATTTGTTTAAAGTGAAGTAATTGTTCAAGAACGACCCATCACCAAGTACATTTTGTCATTAAAGCAAGTGTTAGTAAATCTCCACAGATTCTCCACACATTCTTTTAGACAGAGCAGAATTTACTACGCAGCTTTGTACAAATTCTGCTACATTGGAAAGCATGTGAAAATACCACATTTAATAAGATGTTTTTACTCCAAACTCACTTCATAATAATGAAAGCACTTACATCTTCTGTTTATTTACCAACAGCTATTGGGATTTCCTGAGTTTCTTCCTTGACACAAATTTGGTGATTGGGATGAGAGCGCCCTCTAGCCTTCAGTGGAGATTTACCATCATCAAGATGCACGTGATAATAGTAGCTTTGATTATACACATTTTCGATTTCGTATCTTTCTATTGTTCTCTCTATCGCTTTATCTGTCATGCTATATCGTTCTATTTGTCTGTCTGTCTATCTATCTATCTTTGTACTAGGGCTGGATGATTACGATAGAGAGAACAATAGCTAGAAAGAATGATACAATACACTGGAAGACAGCTCAAACAATCGACGGATTTATAAACCCATAGATAACCACAATACTGGTAATCAAACCTATCTTTCATAGCTTTGTTTTCCCTACCATGAAAGAAATTGAATACAGCAACCTCTTAGTAACCAACATTCTTCAAAACATCTTTTTTTACGTGCAACAGAAGAAACTCTTACAAGTTTGAAGTACCTAAGCGGAAAGTCAATAAAAATGTAAAATGTCAGCTAAATAATCTCTTTAAATCGAATTCAACTTTTTATTAAAATCCAAATACCTCGAACAACACTGCATGGTTTACACAAGGTCACTCTGTCATCGGTTCTTAGTAAAGCGCTCACCTCCTCTGTGTCTTTGAGTGTGCACACGTGGTTGGGCATGGACACCAGTGTCTGTTCCTTCCGGTCTGCGATGTAGAGCCACCACCACTCCTGCTTCTCCTCAGGGAAGAACAGACTGTAGACTGGATGAGTGACCTTAGACTTGGTCTCCAACAGTGCTCGTTCACGCCGCTGAATGCTTTGCTGTAGAGCCTCCCATTCCTACAGAAAAGATGCTCTAGTTATGAAAAGCTGCACATCAGCAGACATTCTTCCAAGAGATAACACATACACACACCTCCTCGTCATCTCTGGCGATCTCATCCCCTTCAGTGTCGCTCTGCTTGTCGCTCTCATCATCTCTTTCACTGGGTGAGTCCTTATTTCCCTCTGCTTCGTCTGATTCGCTGCCTTTGTCAGACAGATCTTCCTCTTCTTCTTTTGACACAACTTCCTGTGAAGAAAAATAATATTGCAAAACATGAGCATCACACACACACAAAAAATGTATAAATTACACAAAGATATATTGTAATAATATTACTTTCCAAGTAACAAGTAGGGCTGAAATCAAAATGAACAAATCTTTTATTTTTTTTATTTTTTATTTTTGCCCTCTCCACGCCACCTATACTCAACAAGGCTACCAAGCCGATCAATCACAGAGCTTGCGATATGCGTCGTCATAACGTGTAGTAACATTTTTTGAGAGGTCAGCATCGGCATCAGTCACGGCGAGAGGTATGCGACCGCGTGAAGGCTGCGGCAGACCATATGCTGTGCGGAACGCAGTAGTGTAAACAGAGCGGGGTCACGTGACTTCACACTTGGTAGAGAAAGTAATTGAAAAAAAGTGAAAGATTTTGACCTGAATGCCGATTTCAATTACTTTTCGATTAATCACCCAGCCCTAGTAACAAGTAATGCGTTACTTAAAAAAAAAAAAAGTAATAATGATTAATCTTAACTACTATTTAATATTAATAGTAATAATAAATACAGTGCATTGTTAATTGCGGAACTCCTCTACAAAAAAAAAAAACAAAACAAAAAGAGAAGCTTGAGCTCTGAAAGAGTTCAAGCCTCAGCCAGGTAATAAAAAGTAACACAAAAGTAACGTAACACATTTCTATAAAAAGCAACCAACTAACGCAACTAGTAACGTTTTTAGAGAGTAACTCAAAATTGTAATGCATTACTCACTTATGCTCAAAATCCTACATATTTTTAAAAATGCTGATTGTGATATACTGTAAAAATGTTACTAAATTGTATATTACTATATATTAAGAATTTATAATGTGATTTATTTTTGTATTACCCAGCTTAAAGTCCCCATAAATCAGAAGCTGCGATCATTATTTATTACGTATTGTGGCGCAGTTCCTAGAGAAACAGGATTTTAAATAAAACAGTGGGTGTGGCTTGTTTTTTCCTACTGCGAGCTAATTGGATGTAGTAAAGTAGGCATTTTATTCAGATAGATGGGAAAAAAGTATTTAGGTAGAGTTCTTACAACCTAACAGACTCCTCCTCCTCACCATTTCTGTTTGTTGTCCAAGCTGACAGTTGGAGCAGCGTGATTAAATATGTTAGCCATGCCCATTTGCTAATATATACGTAAATCTGACAATTTGACTGTAAACAAACAGGAAGTGCATTTTCATATTTCAATTAAAGATACAAGGGAAAAACTTTTTTTTTTTTTTAACAACATGCACAGATGAATTGTTCACCACAAAACTAGCAATGCGAGCTTTCAAAATCATATGGTTAGTTTTGATTTCTTGGGGACTTTAAATCTGCATCATCATTCCAGTCTTCAGTGTCACTTGATCCTTCAGGAACGCCAATTTGGTGCTTAAAACAATGCTTTGTAACATTCTAAACCTCTAAAAAAATCCCAATTGCATCTTTTCTAAACATTAATGACTACTGTATCCAAATAATTTTAATATCATATTTTTTTTTTAAATGGTGTAAGCATTTTAGTTTCCTTACATTTCCAGCCACGTTGCCATTGGCTTGTTTGGCCTTGTCTCCCTTCGCTTGCTGTTGAGTGACTGGTTTCTTCTTAGTCAGTTTCTTCTTTTTGGACTTGGCAGCTTTTTTAGCTCCTTTATTCTTATTTTGCCAAACCTTTGTTTTATTTTTGGCATCACCTTGCTGCAAGTAAGATGATCATTAATAAAAGCCGTTAAATGCAATTTTGAGTGACAAAAGAGTAACATTTGTTAAAACATTACTACCTCCTCTGTGTTCACTTCTTCTGCAGGCAGCGGTGCGTTCTCCTCCTTCTCAAACATCTCCTAAACATAAATGATAATCTAAAGGTTATTCTCAACCCTCCCAAAAAAACTAAGCAGCTCAGCACTGACCTCTTGTGGATGCCTGCTGCAACTAAAGGTGTGCCATAATCGGCTTAAAAACACAACTAACATGAAAAGAGGAACTTAAGCTGGATATAGAAATAAGAGCGCCTCGGCTACACTTATGGGTGGGAAACTGTGGCCCGTGTGATGTAAAGCACTTACAGACATTCTCTTCCTTGTCAAGATGACCGTGACTGTGACAATGGATCCTGCAGTGATGTTATTGCTATCTTCATCATCCAGCACTATGATGTAATGAAACATACACAGAGTTCAAGGCTTTTAATTACAGATAGTTGTACTTGTTGAACGCGTGTGTAAAATCTGCTTAAATCAACCTTGAAGTTTGGTTTCCATGTTGATATAAGGGAAGCTGCCGAGGACTCCAATGACCTCATCATACTTCTCCTCCCCCAGAAATCTTAGCATGTTCCTCCTGTCAGAGTCTTTCAGGCTGACCAGATCCTGCAACGTCCGCACCTTGTACTGAAAATTAGAAGAGAGAAGATTTAAAATTAGACATTTGCAAACCCTTTTACACCGTATTAATAGTTTCAATTATGCCCTTTTTATTGAAGAACTAGTGGAGAAATCTTCTATGGGCTGTAACGCCTTTAAGAAAGATGTACCTTCTTAGAGATACAGTATCGGAGGTGCTCCTCTTCGAAATGGGGCAGCTGCAGCAGAGGAGATTTGGCCTCCTGCAGACCTTGAACCACCATTTGAGAAAGCTTCATGCAGTTTTCTATGGATGTGAGCCTGGGAGCCCGAAGGCCTATTAAAATCAAACACCAGCAAAACAAAAACTTTACAAATTGCATGTCACATTGGATACATCAGTTTAAAAGTTTAAGTCAGTACAATTTTTAAATTTAATAAAAATTAACCCATATATTTTGCATATATTTGAACAAAAATATGATCAACTAATCTGTTTTTAATATATTTATAATGTGATTTATTTCTGTAATAGTACAACAGTGATTACTACAGTCTTCATGGTCACGTTTCCTTATAATTTATTCTAATATGCAGATTTGCTGCCCAAAAACATATAAATGAAAACAATATATATATAATTATTAATGACGTAAACATTTGTGAGCAATTCCTTCATTATGAATGTGACGTTTACAGTAAAAACGTAAAACAAAAATCACAAAGAAAGTATATATTAACACTGTATAGAAACATCCTTTTATGTTTTCCAAAACAACTAATCACAGATTTATCGGAAAAAAAAAATCTATCTGCAAATATATTTTTCATAGTTTAAATGAGGAAAATAGACATGCGTTATGGATGTGGCCAAAAAAGTTTTGAAGTTTACAGTCTACAACATACTTTGTAAATCAAACTGCACAACCCAAAAGAAACTATGCTAAACAATAGGATAAGCGTTCATCCTATTTAGGATAAGAGGCTCACTATAAAACAAAACTGATTGATTTTATTTTATTTTACATTTTTGATTTTTTGAAAAAAAATTCTTCATTATGGAGGTGACAGATGTGAAATTGCCACTTGTGCGAGTTTGGTAAATTAAATAGAATTGTTTGCAAATATCGACAGAGAGATTTTTGAGTATTTTTACAGTACTGTCAAATACAAATTGCTCTTGTATAATTCAGAATTTTTGAGGGAACCATGTTTTAACGAGTCCTTTCAAAATAAAAATATAATTCTTGAAAATAAATATCACAATGACCTCAAATTTTAGAACTGTGTTGTTTAAATATATAAATGAAAAACTGATATTCTGCGTTTACACTAAACGCAAATTTAAGTATTCACGCAAACAAATAGCATACAAAGTCAATGCAAACATGGTAAAATGTGCGAATTCTGCAAATTTGTGTTTGCCTCACACTGGTGAGTGGGCTTTTCAAACACCCAGTAGAAAACACACTATCATTTCTGACACTTTTAAACTGACACCTGCACCAGTTTTTGCACATTTGCACCAGACACTTTCTTACAATCGCTATTTTTCTCCACAAAAATAATAACAACAGTTCCTTTGTATAATTAACTTATTGTGCGCACTGCCTCTTCCTGTTGAGTAACTAAATGCTTTGGACAAAAGCTTCTGCTAAATGACTAAATGGAAATGTTATGTTCCTCTGTCTCGCAAGTGTTGAGTTTACACCGGAAGTGTGTGAAATAACTTAGTGTAGAAGTAGCTCAAACTCGCACTCATTTAAGAAAGAAAAAGGCAGGAAAGTTTAAACAAAAAAGTATCTGTCTGGAGCTCCTCCATGGTACCCAACATTTGTTAACACTCGTGCCACCGGGCTTGCTCCTCTCTCAAAGCTTTTAGCCTCCCACTCATTGTTGCTACCAACTTGACCAATCACAGCACTTGCAATATGCTGCGATGTGTAGTTATGCTGTTTTTAAGAGGTGCATGTCAGGGTTTGCATCATGCTACAGCAAAGCGTATGCGACTGCGCAAAGGCACCACCAGACAATCCATTCACATTTGACCCAGAAGTAAAAATCCATCAATCAACATTGGATCTGTTTCAAAATTACCTCCTCTACTAGTTGCCATCATGGTGAGCTGACAGCCAACATTGATCATTTCCTGTAACAGGGCAGGGCACTTCTTCACCACAAACCTTTGATCTGCAGAAGACACAAAATTCCAAATTTAACTCCAAGTGCACACATATACTTGATAACGTAAAGCCTGCAATTGTACAAGTCTTACAACAAAAACTTCATTAGACAGGTATTTGTTGTTAGAATTGGTTGAAACTGCTTACCCTCCTCTATGTTCTCAGAAACATCCATCCTGGCAAGTTGTGCAAGTAATAAGACTCGAGCCTTCAGGCTATAAGGATAGCAGAACGGAGGTTCCTTCTTCTTAACGTTAATATTTCCCAGCTCCCGAATCAACTGCAAAAACCATCACACACCCAGTATTATATTTATATATAAAATGCAATCATTATCCAAAAGAGTATATTTCTGGCACGTAATGCAGTCAAATACATTTGACCATTTTACCTGAGGAACTTCAATGTTGTCTGTCGGCCTTATGATGGCCTCTTTGTTACTACGAGGATCAAACTCAAATGCAGCCGTCAACACCATTACCAATCCTGTCAGAAGAAAGACTCAATCTGAGGACCCTTACAATTATTTTCCTTAATGTTAACTTGAAGTCCTTTCCTAATTTGTGTACTTACGTTTCATGTTCATTGTAGGCGTTTTGTACATAAAGTGCATGAAAAGCTGTGTTGTGTTGATCAGGATCTGATCACCACTGTAGCGTATGGAACGGTACCACCACGTACCCTAAACACAAATTCGCATGTTACTTTGTTTTGTCAGTATATTAATTCATGAATAAAATTGAAGAGTTTATATACTACATTTTCCAAAATAGTTGTTCAAAACAAGTACCAAATTGTTCAAAAAATAAAATGTAGATTTTAAAATAAATGTCCTTGAAATTCTACTCTAAGTTTGATAAGCACAATCATTTTTTACAGAAATAATGTTTCATGAGCATTCAAATCACAAGGATCAGGTGACAAAAAAATTTTACTAATGGCTTTCATACATTCATCTTTGCCATAGAGAAACAAATTACATTTTGAAACATTTTTAAAAAAATAAACATTTATTTTAACTTGTATCAATATTTCACTACATTACTTTTTTATTGTATTTTTCCTTCACATTTATACTTCATTGCTCAAACATAAGCAGCAATAGTGAGCTTATTTTCAAACACATTAAAATGTTACAGAACAGAACTACACACATACTTTCAATTAAATCTAAAGTTCAATATTTTGATTGCCACAGGAAGACTTGCTTACCACTACCACAGGAAGTATGACCATAAATGCCAACCCATAGACCAGCAGCACCTGTTAAATACAAAAGCACACACATTTTTTCACTTATTGCCTTTTTGTGCCTAGTTCAGACAGCACAATTTTAGCCCCAGTTTTAAGAAATCGCTGACAAATATGCCCAAAATCACAGGCAAAACGGTGCTTGTTCATGTAACAATCACACAGTGAGACGCGATCTGAGAGAATCGCAGATGAGTCGCCGATACCCGTGAGATATCTGACATGCTAAATATCTGGACCTGTCTGTGATTCAAAATCATAACATGTGAACTGTATTCTGATTGAAAATAACATCTGTGATTACCTACAGCCAATGAGAGATCAGCATCCAGGCCAGCGGGAAGTTGAGGGAGGAGTTACAAAGGTATAGAACACATAATCAACAAGCATGGAATAGGTTGAGAAAAGGGCTTTTTTTCGGTCTTTTCATACACAAGGAATGGAGGAAAAACTAGTGGAAATTTGGCAGGAGCACTCATGTCTGTTTGACGTGTCATTACCAGCAATACCACAACTGGGTGAAAAAAAAAAAAGTTTAAGAGAAATTGCTAATTCCCTTCAAAACACCAGTGAGCAAAAGAAGTACATTTTCTACTCAACTAAAGGCTTCTTTCTCATTATGTAGTTATTAACAATATTATATTATACTATGTGATATCATGTTGTTTTTATGTCACTTCTCGCGTGTTTGTTTGTGAGACGTAGTTTGCAAACAGAGACAAAGTTGTCTGTGATTCTTCGTATTGTGATTTCATGCAGTGTAAAACCCTGTCGCCGATCCATATTGTCGTGTAAACACAGCAGCGACTAAATGCTTTGTGACGTGACTACTTTGAAAATCTTGCAGTCTGAACTCAGCATTAGTCAAAACTTAAAATGTGATTAAAAAACATCAGCTGAACTTACCAGCATGGAATTTTTCTGATCAACAATCCATGCAGGAAGAGCGATTCCAAAACTCGTCACTGATAAAGAGATATTAAAAACAAAGAATAATGATATAATCATTGAAAACATCAATCTTTGGAAAAACTGTAAACAAACTAAAGAAATCTTCACCTCTTGGGCCATCAGGGTTGCCGTACATCTCCCAATTTTTCCGCGATTCCTCATTAGTCAAACTGTGAGAAAGTATCAAGTGTGAATTTCAAAAGCTAAGGATTGCATGGTGATAAGCAATAGAAAGTTGCAGCACAGGTATTTAAACAAGATTAAAGGTTTTATTCTGGCACAGAGGATGACATGGTTATGAATTGTTTTGTGCTGCACCTAGAATTTTACACTGCAATACCAACACCAACTCTGATACAATGATTTGCAACTGCTATAAATGAAATTCCATTCAATTTAAAGGGCAACACAATAGAAAACGGGTAGGGGAGGCAGTCTTACGCTGAGTAAGCTTTAGCAAGCTTCATGAAGGTAGCCTCATCTCCGCCTTTATCAGGGTGATGTTTTAAAGACAGCACCCTGTACTGCTTCTTTATCTCAGCAACAGATGCCCCCTAAAACAAAAGCAGAACGGATCTGTTCATCTTGAGAGGAAAAGTCGTTTAAAAATGACAATGAGCATGAAAGGGCGAGAAAGGAAATAAAAATGTCATCCTTACTGCTTCCAAGTTGAGGACTTCATAAGGGTTATATTCCTGGTACTCTCTATCTAATTTAGACACTTTATATGCCAGGAGAAGAAATACTGCCCACCCAAACAACAGGGCTGCTTTTCTAAGATGACAGAGAACAAACAAATGAATCAACAACATTTAGTTTGTAATCACAATTTACAATAAAATATGCAGTAGCTGTTCTGTACACAGTGTTGGGGAAAGTTACTATTGAAAGTAATGCATTACAATATTGACTTACTCCCCAAAAAAGTAACTAGTTGCGTTACTCGGTTTCTTTTTATGGTAAGTAATGCGTTATGTTACTTTTGAGCTAATTTTTATAACCTGGCTTAGACTTGATCTCTTTTCAGAAGTTTTGTTTTGTCTTTCTTTTTTAATAGGAGTTCTGCAATGAACAACACATTGTATGGCCTACTACACCTACATTTCTCCTTAAAAAAACACATAATATATAATATATATATATATATTTTTTTTTAGGATAATGTATCTGAGAACTTACCCCAGAACTATACTATACTAGTTTAAAAGTAATGTGTTTGCTACTTTTATACTATATCAAATATTATTACTTATTTTTTTAAAGTAATGCGTTACTTTATTCATTAATTTAAAAAGTAATATTATTTCGCAACTCACAATACTTGTAATGTGTTACCTACAATACTGTCTGTACATCATGTTGACTAAAAAGCTAAAAGAGCAGATTTAGGCCACATTAGATGTGGTGTAACTAAATACTCTGAATCTGATTGCTGCTTTGTCTTTAAAATAGCTGATGCTGAGATTTGATGCATTTTGTTTATTGTGGAAAGCGGCAATAAAAAAACATGCAAGAAGATTAAATCAGATCATCCTCATCATCAAACAGATTTTGATCAAAAAAAGTTCTCAAGTCTATCCTCCCAATACATTTGTGGTATGTTCGGTAAAGATCAAAGATTTAAGCCAAGTCTTCTAAAGAGACGCAATCACTTTATATAATGAATAGATTCAATTAAGTCTTTTCTCTTCAGAGATTTGAGAAAAATCATTAACTAAAATAATTTTTATTGCAATCTGAAGGTGAACTAATATCTTAAGGGTTTGAAATGATATGAGGGGAATTAAAAAACAACAGATTTTTAATTGGGGTGAACTTAACACTCATATATGTATAATGTAGTATATTAACATGCAAAAAAAGAAATGGAATTACGTAACATTTTCCATTTGACATTTGGTTAAATTCCAACATTCTTCTAAATATCTTAGTTTGTGTTCAAAAGGAAAAAATAAAAACACTTTAAAACACTTACAATGAATAAAGGGTGACATTTTTTGTGCATAATATCCCTTGTAGTATTGCTCTACCCTTTTCAAATGATTAATTTTTATTTTTATTTTTTTTTTTTTTTTTCATAAAGGTGGACTGTATAAAGTATACTTTTTTCTTTATTATTTTCAGTTTAACAGAAGTACACTAATTCACTTAAAAACTTGTAAGAAGTTGAAAGGGAAGGCTAGGAAAGGAAAACTCATTCTACAACTCCCCTAGAGTTACAGTTAGGCATAGGATAACCGTTTTTTAAGGTATACCGCGGTCTAGAAAAGTCAAGGTTTTAAAACTGTCTGTTATACCGTTCACAAGGTATGTGTAAGACTTTTTTTATTTCATTTTTTTAGAACAACAGTATCTCCAGCAGTAAAAATATCCAAAGATGCCATTTTAAGTTATAAAGAAATCAGTGTTTTTGAAACTATTGAAGACAACAGAAGTCAATGATTCATTTGAATTATCTAGCCTGACATGTTTACTGTACTAAAATATTACAAATCTTTCAAAAAATTAAATATATTGTTTTTAAAAGGGGGGAAAGTTTTTGTTTTTTACCTAGAAAATTTAAAAGAATATATTTCAGAGCAGTTAGCACATTACCGTGATATTTTTATTCAAGGTTATCATACCGTCAGAATCTTATACTGGCCCATGCCTAGTAACAGTTGAGATTTAGCATTTCGAAATCCATTCAGCTGAGCTCTGGGTCTGACAGGAGCATTTTTAGCTTAGCATACATTATTGAATCAGATTAGACCATTAGCTCAAATTATCTAAGAGTTTTGATCATTTTCATAAGCTTGACTCTTCTGTAGTACTCTGGGTATGAAGCCCATTATTTTCTAGGCCGGTTTCGAGGAACTATACACTCCTTCTGACGTGACAATAAAAGAACTTTACAGCCAGACCATGACGGGAGTAGGTTCATTTTTTGTTATCCATCAAGTACCTTCAAATAATCTCTGGTTTAATCCAATTTATTTGAACAGATATTAAGATCTCACATTGCAAGCTATTTCAAGAAAACTAAAAGTTACAAATAACACCAAAAAGAATGGCACAAGTGCATCATACAACTACACGCAATGAGTTAAATAGGATTAATTGACCTGAAATTCTTTCAACTAATTACAGACAAACATAATCACTTACTTAAGTGTTGGAACAATGCTCTGCTGTGATTTCATAAGCCGAAGGCGATACCACAGACATCTTCCATGAACTCTCCGTAAACTCTTCAATCGCAATTGCTCTGTGAATTAATGTATATAGAAAACAAAAATAAGTCAAAAGGAGCATTGTGCAGCATAATCCACATCTACCGTAAAAACAGAGTCCTAAAAACAAAACAGTACCCAACATTCTATAAATAGTATACTATGCTTTTTTTATACATTTCAGGGTAGAGAATTGTTTAATGCTTTTTAGATTACATTTTGAAGCATTTTATGCTTTTATCTGAATAAGACCCTGTGGGCCCATTTTACAAAGAGTCAGATTACAAAAGATACCTGACAACGTGGCAAAATGATGTTATATATCTGTAATGAACTAAGATACTCAGTTATTGGATAATTACTTAAATTCTGTCAATTCTGTCACAAGTCGGACAACAGAGAATTCCTTACAACTTAATATTAGTAAGACGAAGGAAATGTGTTGTCTGACAAACAAAATACGAACATTCTGTGACCCTTTGCTAATTAATGGGGAGGAAGTTGAACAGATGAGTTCTTTTAAATATTTAGGTGTGGAAACGGACTTTCAATTCTCTTATGATAAACACATAGAGAATGTTTTTTAAATAGGCTCAGCAGTTGAGTTTGTTGAGAAAACTCAGAAGTTTTGATATTTAGAAGGACATTTTAAATTGTCTTATATAAATAAACTAATAAATATGTTCATACTTTTTACATTGTAGCCTTGTTTAACGCCCTCTCTGTTAAAAGCAAAAATTAACTTTTAAGGTTAGTAAATGTAGCAAGCAAAATAAATTGTTGAGAGACAAACACCTCTCCCTGATTTATTTATAGCAGCGGCAAAAAAACTCCACTATTGTGAAAGACTCTTCCCATCTATTACATGATTTCTTTAAGTTACTTCGGTCTGGTAGACTGTATAAAGTCTTTTTAGCAAAAAAGGCTAAGTACAAAAAGACATTTATTCCCACTTCCATTGTTTGTTTTTTTTTATTGTTTTTTTAAATAGATTTTTTTTTAATTGTGTAAGTGTATTTATGTTGTTGTTTGTGTGTGTGCCTATGTCTAAAGAAAATTTTCTAAACCTTGTGGGATAGACAATAAAGTTTATTAAATTGAATGAACAAGAGACAAAGATTATGGTGCAAAACAAAATTCTTTACCCATGCCTAAAGGATTTAATGCACAAAACACTCACACTGTAATGTTTGCAGCTGGGATGGAAGATACTGAGCCTTAAGTTATTATCAATATTTCTATTTATTTACTGTAAACAAACGTGGTATGCACACTGCATATGTGTTTGAATGATTTGCATCGTGTATGCTGGTGTTTATACTTAAATACTCCTATATGAATGCATATTTATTACCATATGGTATTTCTCCAAGTATTTAACATGAATGCTAAACTTGTATTGTATGACTTCCAGCTTGTTTAAAACATTTTTCTTTTCTTTAGCCTGCAGGCATTTTTTTAATAAATATGGCTGCATTTATTGTTTTTGACATGAAACATTTAGACATGATTTAAAATGTAATGGCATGTCAACCTGGTGCATGTAAATGGACATTTCATGAAAGAGTGCAATTCACAATAATAAATACAGCTATGAAAGAAATTAAGTGATCACTTCGAAAGGAGCAACTTCTCTGGATTTATGATATAGTAATGGTTAAGTAAAACCTTTTGTTTTATTTGATAAACTGCTGAAAACATTTCTTTCAAAAAGGTAAAAAGTTTAGAGTTTTTGTTTTGCAAAAAAAAAGAACTAAAATTAAGTTTCTTTCTATTTGCAGTGCGTTTCTGTATTTGCATTAGGGCTGTGTGGTTTGGGGAAATACTTAATTGTGATTTTTCTGACAGATACTGCGTTTGCAATTTGATTTGTGATTTAATTTTGTAGTCAAGCTTCAAGTTAATAATCTGTAAGCTGTGGTAACAATTCTACAACAGCTCTTAAAAATAACCTGTTTTTTATTTGGGGTCTATGACTTCGAAACCAAAATATTCCCATATTATCAATGTCCTGATTTTCTTTGATATTAATTTGTCTATTAACGCTTCTGAAGTAGCAGACCACATTATCCAAATTGTCTGCGCTTTCCTGCTTGTTTTTTATTGTGGCCGTTTCCCATAGTTTGGTTGAGTAATTCTGATTGGACAGAACAAAAAAAGTGTGCTAAGACTATCACACAAAAACGGCATTTGCTCTGGACGGGTAAATTAAATAAAACATATATTTCAACATATTTCAAAACATATTCGTTTCATGGTGATGCAGTGGCGCAGTAGGTAGTGCTGTCGCCTCACAGCAAGAAGGTCGCTGGTTCGAGCCTCGGCTGGGTCAGTTGGCGTTTCTGAGTGGAGTTTCCATGTTCTCCCTGCATTCAGGTGGGTTTCCTCTGATTTTCCCCACAGTCCAAAGCCATGCAGTACAGGTAAATTGTGTACGCTAAAATTGTCTGTATTGTATCAGTGTGTATGGATGTTTCCCTGAGATAGGTTGTGGCTGGAAGGGCATCCACTGCGTAAAAACGTGCTGAATAACTTTGCGGTTAATTTCGCTGTGGCAACCCCAGATTAATAAAGGGACTAAGCCGAAAAGAAAATAAATGAATGAATATACATTTCATATCACAGCCTCTTGCGATTAGCTAATCGTAATGCTTCAAATTGCGATTTGATTTTAAATAATTGCACAGCCCTATTTTGTATATGTTGCATTTTCATGTAAGTGCTTAGTTAGAGATTGATGAATTAATGTTTACTATTTGCATCTACATAAAATGTAATAAACTTTTAGGGGTCCTTGACACATTTCTGATTTTGTCTTTAGCCGTGCTATTTGCAGTGCATTTCTATATTTGCAGGTGTTGCAAGTATTTCCATGCTGCATAATCTATAAATATAATCAAGAAAAAGATGCAATGTTATGTCTATTGTTTGCTGAGTGTAACAATATTCAAGTACAGTAACTGAATGATAAAAATAAAAACAATTCAATAAAATTAATCTTAGTTAAGGTCACAAATGGTACAATTTATTATGCCTGAATGCTTTTAAAATGATTATACAATCACAGGCATCAAAATCACATGCAAATGGTAAATTATAATACAGTCAACACTCAACATTGCATATCCTGAGATGTGACTGTTGTGAATGATCCCATAACGATATCGACGGTGAAACGATGTATTGTGTGTGCAGGCCTATAACTAACCATGATTTCATATCACAACAAATTAGGGGGAAAAAATTATTTTTAATCATTTTTTGAAAAAGAAAAAAAAGTATGAATGTAAGAAGCAATACGAGGAAAGTTATCATCAGACCTTTACAGAATAAAACAAATCTTAACATTTTATTCAAGCCCATACTTAATGAATCCAAACAAACTGAGATATTTGTCATTTTTTTTCTATAACTGCACATTTTATAACACATGCTGAAAATACTGAGAGTGCCGTTTAGTGTTATTTAAAAATACTCTATGTACTGTAAACAGCGAAGATAAAAGAAAAGCTAACAATAAACGGATGGCAACTAGTTACATGTAATGTAAGAAACTGGTGTGTAGTTATAGTGATTCTAGCGACGCTCAAAAAGACCTAGCAATAATCTTTATAACGGTGTATTATGATCAGTTACTGACAGATTTAAAATACTGTAAACATGCTAACGTGTCTAAATTAATCTAACGTGAACGTTAAAGAGGCTGAGTAAGGGTCAGCTGCTAATGCTACAAAACAATCCTGCGAGCACTCCGTGTCACTGCTGAAATAACCCTCGTCGTTCGTTTTGTAAAATTCTGGGATGTCAACAAATCTTCCTCATGCAGCTGTGGCAATCTGGCTATCAGGACTGATCATCAAGCGACAGGTAACTGGTTAGCTGTTGGTGTATTAGCATATGGGGCCTTACCCGCATTCTGATCCCGAGGCCAGATGTAATAGGTTGCTGGGATGACTATGAGTCCCACAAAGGACGTGAGGAAATAGAAAAAAGTGTTGCCACTGTCGTCGTACTGAAACTGCTGTCCGGCCATTTCGAAGCGGCAATAAACCCTGATCTTTTCTGCCGCCTTGCCGCCCTATCAGTCACTCCACTGTAGAACTACTCACATATGCGGCGAGGGAAGCCAGCACACACGGACACTCTGCCACGATAGCGATCGCCTTCAAAATAAAAGTTACCTGAGGATTGTTTTATTGTACTAAGACACTATCAGTCCAACTTGATCTTTAAACTACTTCGGTTTGTATTTCTATAATATGAATAATTTTATAGCGTTGTGTTTAGATTGTTGCTAGTAAGGATTACAAATGTTCTGCGCTCAACACGGCACAGGCCTTTATTGTGGCGTGTAATATCGCCTCGCTGCTTGATGTCGTAGTTCTGAAATACGAAAAATCTATGCGCCGTTTCCAAGTAGCAGTGTACGTGTTCTACGCATGCGCTCTGTTAACTGTAGTAAACATTTTACATCAGAGGTACTATGTCTATGGTTTTACATATAGAGTATGTGTACTTTTAGTTGTTGTAATGCTTTTATTCTAAAATACCTGACTTGAGAAATTGACATTTTTTATGTCAATGTACAATTTAATTTTGCTTTGTTCAACTTTTACACACTCAGCAATCTATAACATATTTTTATAATTCAGCTTTTATAAGATTTTACTAGGCTACTCATTTTTTTCTTTAAAAACTTTACCCAACACGCATTCCATAATTTTAATAGATCATTAATGAGTTTGTATATGAACTTTTTAATAGTTTTAAGTGATTTGCAGATGAATCTGTGCTTTAATAAGTTTAATTTGTCCTACGTCTTGCAGAAATTCACTAAGCCAACAAATACAGCTTTGGAAAAAAAAAATATGCCAGAGTTAAAATCGGTCCTCTGAATTTTCCATTAATAGTAGGACTGCCCTGCTGAAAAATCTAGCTTAAACCAGCCTAGGCTGGTTGGCTGGTTTTAGTTGGTTGACCAGCCTGGTTTTAGAGGGGTGTTGGCCATTTCCAGGCTGGTTTTCAGCCATTTACAGCCTGGTCTTAGCTGGTCAGGCTGAAAAATGACCAGCTTAATCCAGCTAAAACCAGCTTGACCAGCCTGGTTTAAGCTGGACATAGCTGGTTTTGGCTGGGCTCTCAGCCTGGCTAGGCTGGTCAAGCTGATTTTAGCTGGTCATCTCCCAGCCTGACCAGCTGTGACCAGCCTGGAAATGGCTTGATACCAGCCTGGAAATGGCCAAAACCCCTGTAAAACCAGCCTGGTCGACCAGCTAAAACCAGCCTAGGCTGGTTTAATCTGTTTTTTTCAGTAGGGTGTGAGGAAAAATAAGATCTCGATAATTATATTGAATGTTAATGATGTATATTTTGATACAAGTTGTTAAAGCTTTCAGATTTAAAAGAGTACCCCAAAAATGACTGAAGCCACAAAAAAATATAGTATCCATTAAATAACATGAAATATTTTCGGCCGATACATTTTAGGCGGCTGAAAATTCGGTCCATCTCTAATGTCAGCACACTTTTAGATTCCCATTGCTGCACATTTCTGCTCTGTGATTGGCTCTTAGATCAATATAGAGTAAAAAAGCCCAGAGCTTTTCATTGTTATTGACACAAATGTTATTGCGATTGCCGATTCGATATAATATAGTTTATTGGCCCTGCCCTAATTAATAGGTACTTGTTTTCAAGTAAAATGCTATTTAATGTTTTACTATATGTCATTAACTACCAATGAGCTGTCTTCAAAAACAGAATATTACCATTTAGGTCATTTATTGTCAAACATAATAATAATTACAATAGGTCCATAAAAATAATCCATGTTTTAAAACTCAAATATAGAAAGAATGTATTTATCTCTTAAAGGGATAGTTACCAAAGTTAATTTCTTTCTTCTGTAGAACACAAAACAAGATATTCTAAAGAATGTCAAAAAACAGCAGCTATCAACATCCATAGTAAAGACAAAAATAAAATGCGAGTCAAACATTCTTCAAAATATCTGCTTTTGTTGTTCAATAGAAAAAAATGAATATCAGTTTTGGAACAAGTTAGGGGCGACAGAATGATGACAGAATTTCATTTTTGGGTAAACTGTCCTTTAATTAAATCACAACTCTCTATATAAGAACCCCCCATTTATTTTAAACCCTAACCTCCCACCCCCCACCAACATACAGTGCTCAGCATAATTGAGCACACTCCATTTTAAAAAATTAATATTTGTATCCATTTCTCAGTGAATACAGGCAATGTATTTTGGTGCATTTAAACAAAACTGATTTAATTAACAGATATATAACTTTTTATTCACCAAACATATTTAGATATGGAGATAATACAATTAAATACAAGCAAACATAGCAAAAAAAATTACAACCTACAACATTTATACTAAATGTTTTGATTTTCCTTCTTTCTTAAATTTTATGTACTATTTTTCTATAACATACATTTGGCTGAACTAGTTTTTGGACCGTCATCATAAGTTATTTTGTTAGATAAGCTCCAGATTTGGCTTCAGTACTGACTAATCTAATGTATCTGCACAAATATATTATTTTATAGCTTTCGACTGAAAATATGAATTTAAAAGAGATATTTGTAAGGGGTGTACTTATATATGCTGAACACTGTATAACATGCATCATATGCAACACTGAAAATAATAATCTAATTATGCATGGATTTTCTTTTTTTAGCCGTTCGCCCGAGTGAGGCTGCAATGTCTTGTCTTTTAGATATTCCACCAAGACTTCCAGAGTGTCCGTAGGGTAGTTCATGGAAAGGTTTCTGTGGTATATCATCATCCATGCAGTCCACTATCACATTATAGGTTTCTAGGTACATGTTGTATAAAATGCAGCATGCTTTCACTGACAAACTGGTTTGGCAAACGGAGTGCTTCTGCAGACACCCAAGCCTCTGAAAACAAGATCTCAGAGTATGTATGGAGCCTTGCACCACTGCAAGAGCTGACCTCACTTTCTGGTTATAACATACCTTTTTCTGTCCAAACGTTCCATAATCAGGAAAAGGAGTTAGAACGTGCTCTGTAAGTGGGAAGGTGGAGTCACCTAAGATGTGTTTGCCATGTAGCAGAGCCACCGGGTCTTCCTGTAATGCCTTCCCAACCTCTGTGGCTGAGAGGACTCTTGAGTTATGCCAGTTTATAGGATGCTCTGCAGATACGTAAGTAAATCGACCCTTGTGATCACAAAAAGCCATGAGTTTGGCAAAATACGCCCCTTCTGTGTCTCTATATACCTCTGAATCTGGTACATCAGTTGGCTTCATGATAGGAATCAAACGTGTTCCTACTACACAAAGAGTATCTGGTAACCCCACAGCCGAAAAGAACCCCTTCACACACATATCCGCTTCCTCCGCCTGAGGCCAGTGAATATGATTAGCTAAGTTGGTAGTAACAAGTGTGCAGAATTCATCCATCTGATCACAGATGAGAGACTCTGCAACGTGGAAGCGATTTGCCACACTCTGGTAGGACTCCTGGGTAGAAAGAGTCCACAGACTGGAGAGAACCGCATGCCACACGGTCCAGTCCTCTTGCCTAATGGCAGCCCATTTACACGGTGCCAGCAGCTGCACCAACTCCTACAAACACAAAAAGAACAAAATGTTTACAAAACACAAATGAGGATTAGCAAGTAGGACTAGCATTAGATGAAGTACCTCAGTTTGAGTTGGCGTCAGCTGGAAGTGACTCTTAAAGTCACTGATAGTCAAGCTTTGCAGCACGGCATTGAAAACCACTTTTCCATCATCATCTTCTCTGATAAATGAAAAAAACAAATTGTTAGAGAATCAGTCAAATGTTTTATTATAAAAACCATCTTGACAGGAAGCATAAATGTCTCATTCTCACACGATGTTTGGGTCAACTTACCTTTTCAGATTAACTTGAACACTTTCTTCATTTTTCAGCTTCACGCTACTGAAACATAAATTAATATTAAAAGTATAATCCTATCACTTTCCCCCATTTGCTATATAGATCATTTTGAGAGTTGTAAACAAACACCAAGGTCCCAACATACATACTACCAGTTTTACGTTTTTTTTATTTCTATAGCTTCCTGGAATTCAAAAAGAGCCACATATTGACAAATAATATTATGACAGCTGTTTTAACAATACGTTATTGAATTGCCTGATGTTACAGTTATGAAATTGATAACAAGCAGGAAACGTTCATGGGCTAATGACTACATTGAAATGGTCTGTATCAGTTCTTCAACCAAACGGCGAACAAAGATTTTCTTTTGTGGAAAAACGTTAGACAACAAGTAAATAACTAGCAACCCTGATTTAAAAATATTAGCAGTTGATATGGATGGATAACTGAACAACACTGAACGCTGTAACATAAGTGTAACTTAAACAGCGCTTAAGCGTCTCTCTTGTTTGTTTACTAATTTAACCATTTGCGATACAATATATTAAAAAAAATGATAATTCACCTGGCTCTCCGACGTTTGCGAGTCGCATTTTTGTTAAATAGCATGATATCTTCAGCATCGTACATGTCTGCTAATAAAAAAGCTATACATGTTTCCAGCGCCATTTTTATCTCGCAGTGAGATTGTTGCTATGCCTCCCTCTTGTGGCAAAGATTTTCTCAAAAACTATTCATTTTCTTTACTGAAATTTTACAAGTGTGACATTTGTCAAAACTAGACTGTAAATCATTTAAATTAGTCCAGTATCAGGCTTTCCGCCTGTTTCACCAAGTCAAATTGAAGACTTTTAAAGACTTTTTAAAGACCATTATGAATTAATGACTTTTAGAGGGCAAAATGCTAAGGATTTATTTGTAATGGCCAGTGAATTTTTTCTTACCTGCCCCATTAAAATAAAAATTCAGAAGAAAGGTACTGGAAAATATTCTCAAGCTAAATTATGATATGACCACAGCTTTGTATTTATTGAATCTTACATGAACAATCTGTTTGAAAAAGATGCTTTACAGTTCATTTTCCTGGTAGGCTATATTTAGCTAAAAAAATGTATTTTGCTACTTTGGTTTGCATCACAGGCTCAATCTTTCAAAAAAGTAGATATCACAAATTGCTACATGACTACAGTTAGAAAAACTTACCTATGACAAATAAAAAATATGACAGATTTTAGTCAATTTGGTCTCCCCTTTGGGAATGGATAAAAGAGCTCTCGTAAATTAGCAGGATCCTTGATGTTTATTTACAATTTTTGTTTAATCTCTTCTTAAAGACAGCTCTGAAATGGTGTGATTGTACTTTATTTTTTATCTATTTATTGTTTTTATATTCATTTATTTCTCATTTTCTATATTTAAGACTGTACACTCTGTAACACATTTATACATTTTGATGTGAATGTTTTGTGAATGTGGGCATACAATTAAAAAACATCTGTTATTTCCTAGCAACATATTTAAAATAATGTGTCGAAACAAGCAACACATTATTTATTAAAAAAAAGACAAGTTTTATAAACTATAATAAACTAAAAATTTATGCACAACATACATTTATGACATTTATGCACACATACACAAAGGACTTTTACACAAATGTTACTGTAAGGATATAAGGAAGATTATAAAACCATATTAGTTCATTTCAGACGGATGTGTACATATTGAGTAGCTTTACACAGAAAAATTAAAGTTAAGACCTGCTTAAAAGTATTAAAGACCTACAAAACCATATTTCAGTGATTTTAAGACTCTTTAAGGCCTATAGTTTTTAAAATTAAAGACATTTAAAGACTTTTTATAACCAAGCAGGCACCATGAGTACTAGCTAGTTTAAGCTTGATCTTCCAGCTTGGCTAAATAAGCAGACAGTCTGCTAGTGGGGGTCACGGTACAATGACATGGGGTTTGCTTGGTGATTTATAAAAGTCAAATAAATTTGATTACAGAATTGCCATTTTTTATCCATAACTCACAGATGATAAAAATAGTAGGTAATAGTTACATAAAAAACAACAATGATCATCACCTTTATTCTTTTTAAATAGAATTAGTATGTTTACATTAGATTAACAACACAGCAATAACCTGCAGCAGATGAGGTTAAATTAAACAAATAAATAATGACTATAAAAAATGATATGGTTGTTAGACTGTTGCACTTTTTTCTGTTGTCAATATGCTCATGTTTTTAGCCCAAGCCTATTGTTATGAGTGCAACTTTGGATAGTTATAACTGAAGATCGAGAGGGGGGATCGCGGGCTAAAAAGGTTGGGAACTCCTGCTTTAGAACATGCTAAAATTCAGAAAAAAAAAATTATACACTTGTTTGAAGTTTTCATTGCATGTATGTTTCCATCACTGATGTCCTGTTCTAATAAATTAATTCAATATTAAATCAGTCAACCAACTGTAGCTTGGCTTGTACTCATTTGCTGCCAATAGGTGGCACCAGAGTAATTCTATGAACTGATTTATGATTCATCTCCATGCATATTGGATCAATATGATTGCAACAACTGCTAATACTTTACACGTCATTAACAAATAGTAAAATAAATAAATAAATAAGCATCTTGACAGGAGAGTGAGTAAAAACAAGAGGAAGTGATCATGCTCAAACCCTCCTCAATAACCTTTGCCATTTCCTCTTCAGTCCCATTGACCTAAATGATGATGGCAGCACAAAATAACAGATAGAGCTACAGTGATGAGACTGCTTACTTCAGACTTGAGAGATGCTCTTACCCTCCTGCGTTAATCAGACAGAGTTAAATATGCAGGGAGTAATTGTGCAGGTCACAACCCCTCATCTTCATTATTACGCGAATGTTTTTGCACTAAAGGCCATAAATCTGTATAGAAATCAACTATAACAAGTTGCATGTAAATTAATACATGTCATATGGCCAAATCCATTACATAAAGAGGGCTGAGAGATTTTAAAGCCTAGTTTTACAGTTAAAAGCATAGTTCACTATAAAAATGGAACATTCTGTTTGCTGAGAAATGGGTAACCAAACGGTTTCTGGTGCCCAGTGACTTCCATAGTATTTTCATCCAATGCTGTTTGGTTACATTTTTTTAAACGTATTTTCAGACATTAAATAGACATTTAGAATATGTCTTTAAGATGAACAATTTCAATTTGCAGTGTTCAGATGATTTTTTTTTGTAAATCAAACCTTTAATCACAGCAGGTCCCACACGGAATAACCTATATAAACATATATGTTTTAAAACAGGTTTTGATATAGGTTTTTAATATATTTGACAATATATGTGCCGTTTTCCTACATTATACGTACATATATGTGTACCCATATACATATATATGTGTGCATATTTGAACATATGTTTGCCTATATGTTTACCTATATTAGTCAAATTATTAAAATCTATAGCTGCTAGACAACATAAATAAAAGCCCATGTAGAAATGTACATTTTTTATTTACTAAGAACAATTAAATAGTAAAAGAAAAAATATAGTAGAAGAACAAAAATAAGACAAAAAACTAAACATAAAGAAAAAACTAAATAAAAAAATTACAAGCTATTTTGCTATACATTTCCTTCTTTTCCTCTATCTTCACACAAGAACGAACTGACGTTGTAAATGTTTCAGGAAAATGTGTAGACATAGCTTTCCATCTCCTCTCATGTATTTGCCATAGTTAAATTCCATAACATGCCAATTACGTGTGATACCAATTACAAGTGTTCGTATATACATACGTTTTTTTGCATTTGTTTTAGTTAGTTCTTACATCCATCCATCGTTAAGATTAAAAAGTGACAAAAAAAAAAAAAAAACATTAAACAGTACGACTAACATTTTTTTCAGTCTGGTTTAAAAAATTCTCATAATACTCAAACGGCCCTTCTTAAAGTATCAAAGGATATCCTTCTTGCTACCAACTGACTCTATGGTCCTGGCTCTTTCAGTTCTGTCAGCAGCACTCTATTTTGTTGTATATGAACTAAAGTCCTTCAGACGTTTCAGTCTAACTTCTCATCCTTGCTTATCTCATCTGTGGCCTACTTCAAGGCTCGTTTCTGACACCCTCCATTTTCTCCTTGTATGCTTAATTTGGAAGCCATTATGAGGAGGCGTGGCCTGTCTTTTCATAACTATGTTGACAACACCCAGATTTACTAACATATCAAGAGAAATTCCCTTTTAGATCTTAGTACCTTCAGGTGCTTAGACAAGGTCAAAATCTCAAACTGTTTAAAGGTTAAATGAAGATAACAGAGGTGAATGTTTTCAGTCCTACTGAACATTCTCAGGCTATACCTGCCTAGATCTGGGCTGCGTATCTGCCTTCAGAGCCTCTCATGTGCATTAAAATTGGACAAACACATTGGTTCTGTTATTGGCTCCTGCTTTTACCAACTCTATCTATCCATCCATCCATTGTTAAGATTAAAAGTAACTAGGAAAAAACATTGATATAGACTTTGATTAATAGTGAAGCAAATGATTTGTTTCATTCATTGCTTTCAGTTGTTTTAAACTGAGCTATTCAAACACCAATCACACTAGAAATGGCCCTGAATTGGATGAAGATGGACAATCGCCACTTATTGCCTACCTAAAATCTCATCTCTTATCCGCCTCAAGAGGCTCTGTAGCCGTCTAATACAGCTGATGGGCAATCCACTGTACCCAGAGATGAGTGGGCAGGGGTGCCCAACAGGGTCAGATGTTTCTGCCCTCATGGCATAACCCCCTATTCAGAAGCTCTTACTCAGCCAGACCCCCCGGGCCTGTGTAAGCCTTTCCCACTGTGATCCTGTTGTCTTATTAAAAGAAGCCACAGGGAACACAAGTCATCCACCTTAGGTTTCTGACACACCAATCAGCATCTGCGATAATGTCTCCTACAGCTGACCTCTCATACGACCTTTGTAATGGGGTGGAACTTTTAAGAATAATCAGCGGTGGAAAGGGAGAGAACTCTGCAGCGCTGCTAAATAACTGTGATGAAGTGATTCTATAATCTATCATAATACCATAATCCCATGATCTTCAGACTTCGCCCCTCATGAGGTCATAATAGCCCCTTTCATTCAGCAACACACGCTGGCTCTTAAGTGAGAGTTCGCTAATTATAACGCTATATTTCTTCAACAAAGCAGCATATTCAGCTTTGGCTAATTAAGTAATTGACCGTTTTAAAAGGTTTTAGCGTTGCACAAAATGTGCATACACCACATGTATGATGGATGATTTGGCAGTTTTAAATAGATGAATGAATCATAAAGGATGATTAAAATAAAGCAACGATGAATGAGACAGAACTGATGAAGAAACCTAATTTGTGATAAATTCACATTGTTTATATCCTAAATACAGTTATTGTACTTTGTTTACTTTTGCTTACTAAATTATAAATACAGTATGACCCTTAAGGGTTAAGCATGCTAAACATCATATCTATCAATACATCCATCCATCCATCCATTCATCAATCTATCCATCCATCTATTCATTCATCCATCCATCTATCTATCCAACTGTCCACCCACCCATCCATCCATCCATCCATCTATATATTCATCCATCCATCCATATAGCCATACATCCATCAATCTATCAATCCATCCATCCATCCATCCATCCATCCATCCATCAATCTATCTATTCATCCATCCGTCCATCCATCTACCCATCAATTTATATATCCACCCATACATCTATCTATTCATCTATTCATCCATCCATCTATATATTCATCCATCCATCCAAATATCCATACATCCATCAATCTATCTATTCATCCATCCGTCCATCCATCCATCAATCTATATGTCCACCCATCCATCCATACATCGATCTATCCATTGATCCATCCATCCATCCAACTGTCCACCCATCTATCTATTCATCCATCCATCTATATATCAATCCATCCATCCATATATCCATCCATCCATTCATCCATCCATCCATCTATACATCCATCCATCCATCCATTTAATCATCGATCTATCGATATATCCATCCATCTATTCATCCATTTATTTATTTAGTGTCTATCGATCTATCCACCTATCTATTCATCCACTGATCAACCAATCCATCCATCCATCCATCCATCCATCCATCTATCTACCTATCCATCTATCAATCCATCCATCCATCCATTCTTAAAACCAGGCTTTAATACCTAACATTACTTGCACAGCACAATAATAAAAAAATTTTTTTTTAAATTTTCTTTAAAATCTAATTTGCACTCATTTTAAGTTTATTTATAAATAAAAATTAAGACACCTTATACTGTACATATCACTGCCGATTTCAGTTTTATTTCAAACAATTTATGAGGAAATACAAATACATAGGGAAACCGGACCTATAGGATAAATACAAAACACAAGGTTGCATAATAAACAAATACATTCATTAATTTATTTTCTTGTCGGCTTAGTCCCTTTATTAATCTGGGGTCGCCACAGCAGAATGAACCGCCAACTCATCCAGCATGTTTTACGCAGCGGATGTCCTTCCAGCCGCAACCCATCTCTGGGAAACATCCATACATGCTCATTCACACTCATACACTACGGACAATTTAGTCTATCCAATTCACCTATACTGGATGTCTTTGGACTGTGGGAGTACCAGAGCACCCGGAGGAACCCCCTGCATGCGAAAGCGGGGAGAACATGCAAACTCCACACAGAAACGCCAACTGATCAAGCCGAGGCTCCACCAGCGATCTTCTTGCTGTGAGGAGACAGCACTACCTACTGCGCCACCCTGTTTTTCTTTTTTTTAAATAAAGCTATTTGGGGTATTATGGCATATTGTTTGTATAGAGAAAATAAATACATTAAATCAAAACTTTTGGAATGAGTTTTTATTCTTCAGAATAAAATTACAGCCTTATAAAAGGTTCAGATATAATCAAGCATTGCGTTAGTACGCAAGTTCTTCTCAAGAGCACATACAAAGCAATCATCAACACAGAAAATGATTTCAAATTTCCAATGGCAAATCAAAAGTCCAAATGGCAACTTTGAAAGAAGAGTTCAAAATTCATCAGCTACACTGATTTCTAAGCCCCTGTTGAGTTCAGGGATATTTCATAATGGCCTGATTGCTTAAGGTCCAAAGTCACTGCTCTGATTCTTACCAGGGCAAAACGTGATGAAGGATAATCTCAATCTTACATCCTCTCTAAGGTTCTTGTCAGGTAAAGCAAGGCCTGGGTCATTCATCTCAAAAGGTATTTCAGCTTTTGCGTCAATTCATTAGACACGTGGCCATAAAATTCGCCTGGTTGCTACATTTGGCAGTCAGGTCAGGAGTAATGACTTTCAGCAATGCTTAACGGATAATGGCATTGCAGGGATAAAAGCTGTCATTCTTGTTAGACATTGCACTCATGAGCCGGGTATGAAAAGGCTATTTTTCCCCATATCTTTCTGTACGATCATATGATTGGACAAATCAAGCAAAATGCGCTTAACGGGCAGTGTGATAGGTAATGGCTCGGCTCCATAAGACCAAAAAGCCAATGCAGCTTAAACGGATGTGTTGGTACGATTATTCGGCCAAGTAACTTTATCCTACATTTAGATTAGCTGCTAATGACTAGGGAAACGGGCACTTTGCAATCCAAGGAAAGTCCATGTAACCCTGAAAACAACAAACCTGTCAATCGTAACAAGGAAGGCTTTAGGAGTTAAGCACTATTAGCATATTTTAATAGAGGTATGAGGAAACCAGTGGATTGGAAACTGTTTCACAAGGTTTTTTTTTTTGCGCAGTAAACTAAACCGAACCTTTGAATAAATAACACTTGAGTCTCAGAAATGGAGAAAATGGAGTTAATAAAAAGATTCGTCTGATTCATCATTATCAGTTTTCAAACCCTTTTCAGACTCCAGTGTTCATCAAATGTCTGAATTAACCATACAAATTAGACTGTGAAAACATCACTGTAAATCCAACAAGCACATAAATCTAGAAAGCTTTCTGAAGTCTCTTCCATTCTTTACTTTCCTCCTCATCTCATCTCAAAAAGTTTTTGTCACAAGATTTTGTTTCTCTAATGCACATGGAGTGCTTCCAGAAGTGGTACCTGTGCAATGTAATGCTTGTGTGTTTGTGCGCGCACACACATTTAGTATTACCTATGAAACAGAGAGTATAAAATGTAACATGCCCTCTTAGTGCAGTAAAAATGCAGCATAACCAGTCTCACGTAAAAGACAGTTCTCCTTCACTGCAAAAATGCTTTTCTTAGAGTTTTTGTCTCGTTTCTGGTGCAAATATAAAAATGGTAAAATAAAGCAGCATTTTCAAGATAAGTAAAAAAATAATCTTTTGATTTAGAAGAAATTTTTAGGTGAGACGTTTCATAAAACAAACAAATGAATCTGCCAATAGGGGCATGTAAAATAATCTTATTTCAAAACGAAAACAAGATTTGTTTTTTTACCTACCTCACTGATAGGATATTTTGCTTGTTTTAAGAACATCATTTTAACAAAAATTATGAAACAATATTTTTAATGAAAAAGAAAATGCTTCTTGAATCAAGATGATTAAAAAATATATATTTGGACAAGAAAAGAGACAAAACTTAAGAAAGAAGAGCATTTTTGCAGTTTCCATACTTTAAATACAATAACATAATACCAACATCCTTTATACTTATTGAAATGAACATAAACCATCTCTGAAAAACAACAAAATGGTAACACTTTATGATAACTACACACTATAAATCATTTATTTAGCATTAGGAAATAGGGAATTCATAATTTATTAAGCATTAACTCTACATTAATAAATGTTAGGAAGCAGTTTATAACTGCAGATACAAATGCTCTACTTTTGATTTATAAGCATATCTATAATGTGCTCAATGGTTGTTTTTTCATACTTATAAATGATTCATTTTTCATAACTAAATTAAAGATTGCATTTTTTACAAGTCAGTTATTTAAGAGTAGCTGCTGGTTGTTAAGTTCATTCAGAGTTAGTAAATGATTATTAAACTATTCAAATTAACATGTATATATCTTATTATTCAGGAATATAGTAGTGGTTACGTTGTATGTTCATAAATGCTTTATTAACTCAACTTCCTCTAGTTTTGTGACCTAATCTAAAGTGACGACTACTTATACTTTATAAATCTCTAATAAATGACAATTAAAGGCTCAGTATCAAATGAACAATACATCTTTGCAATCTTATCTAAAAAGTAAAAGTACTGTAAAGTTTAAACTTCACTAAATAACATTGAAATGTTGTATCATAATATAATGGTCAATTATTATATTGTTGTTGTTTTGTCTAATTTGATGTTATATTTTGACACTCCTGTTATTTGGCAATATTTAAACTTTTACAGTAATTTAACTTTTTGGATAAGATTGTAAAGATTATTGTTCATCTGATCCTGAGCCTTTAATTGTCATTTATAAGGGATTTATCAAGCATAAATAGTCCTCACTTTAGGTCACAAGACTGGATAAGGTTCATATAACCATTATTATATGCCTGAAAAATAAGATCTATAAATGTTGATTTTCACAGTTTATTAATCATTTACTAAGTCAACCTGAATGATCTTAAAAAAAAACTACTCTTAAATACAAATTATTTTTAAATAATGCAATACTTAATTTTGTTATGGAAAATCAACAAGTCACAAATTATGAAAACACAATTATTGAGCACATTATAAATGTGTATTAAGTCAAGAACACAGCATTTGCAGCTGCAGTTATAAACTGCTTACTAACGTTTTTTAATATAGAGTTAATGCTTAACAAATAATGAATTCCCTAGACACTAATGCTTATCAAATGATTCATAGTGTGTAGTAATTATAAAGTGTTACCAAAAAATTTGCCAAAGCACAAATAATAATAATAATAATAATAATTGGCAAATTTAGTTCAAACAAAAATGAAAATTTCCTCATCATTTACTCACACCCAAGTGGTTCTAAACCTTTATGAATTTCTTTCTTAAGTTGAACACAAAGGAAGATATACTAAAAAATGTGAAAAAAGCAGACATTGGCATGAAAAGAAAACATACTATAGAAAGTTAAATACTCCTCTTTCCAAAAACATTCTTCATTACTGTATATTGTCATTTGAGTTCAACAGAAAAATAAACCTCAAACAGGTCCGAAACAAGATTTTTCATTTTTGATTGAACCATCACTTTAAATCAACTGTGCAAATCACAAATAGTGCAAGACAAAACAACACCAAATGACAGAATGTGATCATGAACTATTTGATCCAGGATGTGTTTGGAGTCCAGAAGAAGACATAAACCTCATCCATCCATGCTGTTAGATCCTGTAGGTTTAGCCGGAGAGGTGAAGGTCTTTCTCCCTCTTCACTCAGCTGAATTTGTCTTGGATATTCATTAGGCTGCTGCTGGACTTGGCTCTTTTGGCTGTAGATCAGGATGTGGGAATAGATTAAACCAGACTGGCAGAAGATGCGACAGAATATTCAATGCACAATTTAACCTTGAAGTCAGAGACGGCTTGTGTTCTAAACGGTCTGGAAGCACTTCCGTGAAGTTGGCACCCCATAAAAATAAATAATTCCCAAAACTATGCCATTCGATTGTGCTGATTTGTGCTGCAAAAAAGAATGCTTGTGCTGGTTTGGGGTCTGAAATACTCAGCATTATTTTTTGACCGTGTGATGTCACTTTCCACCCTATGTTACTCAAATCACTCCAAATCAGCACAGTTCGTTTGTGCTCGATTTGTGCTGGGTTGGTGTCGCTGTTTTTAATTCATTATGCAATATTTTAATGATAGAAGCGGCACTAACAAAACTTTCATACAATCCAGCACAAATGAAACACACAAAAGCGAGACTATTTTGGTAAATGTAGAGCAACTAGAGCCGAGAGACCTCTGAATTACCTAATATTAACGAGCACAAATTGTGCACAAACGAAAATAATATATTTGTGCTTAAATATAAATATCTGATGTTCATTTCAACGGCACAAATCGGGCACAACTGAATGACAGCATTTTCTGTGAGATTTAGAAGAACTGGGGTGAAGTGATGTCATGGCTCCCGAATTATTTTGGTTATATCTAAACAAGGAAAACAGATAAAGTGTTTATTTTGGCACAAATCAGCACAAACTGGACACAAACATATAACTCCATTTTGTGCGATTTAGAGAAAATGGGGAGGAGAGTAATGTTGCGGCTGATCAGGCAATATCTAAACAATGAAAATAGATACAGTGTTTATGTTAACAGCACAAACCAGCACAAATCAAGCACAAACGAATGACTCCATTTTGTGCGAATAGAGGAAATTGGGTGGAGAGTGACGCCATGGCTCTCGAATTATTTTGGTTATATCTAAAGAAGGAAAACAGATATTGTAACAACTGTGCTGATTTGGAGTGATTTGAGCAACATGGGGTGAAAAGTGACGTCACACGGTCAAAAAAAAGCTTAATATGTCAGACCTCAAACCAGCACAGATGTTGGTTTTTGCAGCACAAATCAGCACAAATGAATCGCATAGTTTTGGGGATTATTTATTTTTATGGAGAGCCAACTTCACGGAGGTTCTGAAAGAAGCTAAAATTAGTAGTGTTGTTGATCTAAGAATGCTCAGTTAAAGGTCCCGTGAAATGCTTTGAAATGTGTATTTTTTTCAATGTGTGACAAAATTTCAACTGAAACATGAAGACAAAGCAGGACTTAAGAGTAGCTCCTCCCCTTTAAAAAAAACAGCCAATAGTGTTTTGTTTTTAAATTTCATTTCTGCCAATGAGAGTGGTTGAGCTCAAGTCGATCGAATAAAAAGCTCATGAAAAGCATCTTAAAGCGGGCAGGACATGTCAGATACTAGAGAGCCTTTGATTGGTCAGAGGATTTAATGAGAAACTGAAGTATGAGACGAACTATGATATTAGATTAAAAAAAAAAGTATGGCTGCACCTGAAATCACATACTGCCCTACTATATAGAATGCTAAAATCTGTATGCGAGCTAAGTAGTATGTCCGAATTCATAGAATTTTGAAAAACAAAATCTGAGAAATACCCGGATGACCTATTACTTTTGGCGAAATACTGAAGTGCGCATTTTATGCAACTGGGTATATTCTAGAATCCTACAAGTGATTTTAATACCTTTTAAAGACTTTTTTAAAGACCCTCTCAGATTATTTTAAGACCAAATCGCCATTTCAAGTTCTAATCAGTATCAAACCTTTAACTTAATAAACAGTTGTTAATAAACAGTTGTCATTAAATAAATTAATGGAGCACAACCACGCAACAGAACTCAGATAAGCTCGGAAGAAACAAAGCTTTAAAGAATAAATTACGAGGTTGTTTTCAGTGACAGGCTTCAGCCACTGTTTAAACTCATCTCTCCAACCAGGAGTACGCAAACTTACATTTTCCCATTTCGCCTGTTTCTCTACATGTGGAGCGCGTCACATCACCTTACCGCATTTGTCGCAATTTACGTGTCACCAACCGGATGGAGGAGTTTGGCCAGACATGCCCTGGCCCGAATAAATCATGTGGATCGAGCACGCCATTGTAAATATTAGGAGGAAAATTTATTTATTTATGCTTTTTTGAAGTCAAACACTTTGGACAACGATTGAACAAAATTTAAGACCTCGTAAAAACGCAATTAAGACTTTTTAATAACTTAATTTTTTATCTAAATTTTCTATTAATTGATTTATCAACTTTTAATACTTTACGAACCCGCGGACACCCTGTGCAAGCTATACTTTTCGATGATGCCATGCGAGAAAACTCATGAATGATAGAAGCGACGCAACTAACGTGCATAGGTCATGTGATCATGACAAAATGGCAGATGTAGTACATCTGAGATCCATTCATACTGCTGACATTCAATCTAATGGTCGAGTGGTACATTTAAATTCAAATACAGTAACAACTTAGTAGGCGATTTTGGATGTAGCCCAGGATTATATGTTCTAAATTTTAATTTTGTTTCTGTTTAGGAGCACACTAGATTGTATATCCTAAAGACTAACATGCTGAGCTTTTGATTTTTGAGTTTTGATTTCACAGGGACTTTAACCACTGTTTGACCACAAAAGTTAAAGCAGTTAGGATCATGCATGCACAATTAACATTGCTGAGCACCTCTGTCCTCGTTCTTGAGCCTTTAGTAAAGACAATTTGCACAGACTGGCAGGTAACTTACGGTGTATGAGCTTGCGTTTCTTTTGTTCTGAGTGCAGGAAGCTGCTTAAGTAGAAGATGATGGGGAGGAAGAGCATGAAGCTAGACACTGCGATGACAGGCACCGTCTCCTCACGAGGGAACGAGCAACCAAAGTTTTTACTCCACAACTTCCGCGTTATGTTCATCTGAAAAGCAAGGTAATAAATTGCAGATTTCTGGTAGTGTTATGCTTATCTAATGATGGATACCTTGTATTAATTCACACATCCACAGACCATTAATATTTTAGGTGACTATCTGTCTTTAATAGGACATTAAAGACGATTTGTCAACACAGGCTCTTTTGAAATAAGTGCTTCAGTCTACTTCTTTGAGAAATCATAAACATATACTTCAATATACGTTTGACCAAAGACGACAAAATACACAAGACATGTCACTTGTATAGTTAAGAATCGGAAAAAGTGTAACAGTTGATCTGGCGACTGAAGCCCTGTCTTCTAGTACAGGAGCCAATCATCAATCACTACAGACTGATGATTCTCCGGGGGAGGGGTTCAGACTAGATGAGAGTTTCTGCAGATTTTGTGTGATTCGAATGTTTAGAAATGAAACTAAAGACACAGATGCTGTTTAATTTTATTGGTGATTTCTAATATGAGATTTAATTGTAAGCTTGTCAAGCTACTTTGGAGAATTTGATGTTTCCCCATTCAAACAGAATGTGCATGCATACTTCCTGAGAGGCGTTTCAAAGATGGCTGCCGAGTGAAATGATTTGCCTTAAAAGGACTTTGATTTAACTACATTTCTAAGGTAAAATGAACTCTACAGGGCAGTATGAGACCAACAACCTTTGTCCTTTTCACATCAAAGATTTTACAGGTACACATTTTCATTTGTATAAAGGATTATTAACATGCAGTTCTTAGGACAACATCAAATAAATACCACAAAACACCTTAACGTATATGTTTGACTTATCTATCTATTTCAATGTGGACAACTTTTCTATTGTGATCAGTTTGCTAGTTAGCTCACTTTTGTTTTGTGCTTGTGATACAAAGTGATCAGGTTCATTTACAGTGAAGCACAGTTACACAAAAGAGATGAAAGCAATGTAAAAATCTAGGTAAACTATGTGGTTGTGATAAGCTTTTCTCTTATGCTTGTTTTTGAAAACACTTGATTGGATTTAGGCAAGGTGACTTCTGTCTATGACTTTTCATAGACATGTACAAGAAGAATAAATATCAGAAGTGTGCAGAATGAACATACCTGGAGCAACATGCTTTATGTTTCGCAAAAATGTAGGCTGAAGCATGAGTATCCAATTAGTCAGATTTTTCCATGAAATTGCAGTCCTTGGAGATTTAAAAAAACGCTAGTGAACAGCTACTGCCACTTTTAAAGTCAAATAAAACAAAACATCTTAATGTAAGAGACAATTTTTTGTTTTGAAGGAAGGCATTTAACATTGTCCAAAATTACTAGCTTACAGGATTTTTGTCACAGCAAATAGGCTGGAGTACATTCAAAATACCTTAATGTGCTGCCAAGACCCATGGGTTTTAATTTTGCATTGCCCACATTTGTTTTGTATTATTTAGACAAGTGATGGTAGACTTTAAAGAATCACCAATTAAAAAGGAAGAAAATATTTATTAGATTTTGGGTTTTGTTGGATCAATATTTGTTTAATTAAGCTGTATACGTTTTTCCAAACAAACTCACACGAAATCCAGTTCATTGCTAGGAGACGTGAGAACTTAAAACCACGTGGATTATTAAAAGTAACTGTGACTATTGTAAAATAATCTAAAAACAAAATGTTTGACTGCCTCTTACTAGATAGTCTTCCCTGTGTTGAAATATGCCTACTTCCATACTATATATGAAGTAAAGTTTGCAAAATGAGCAGTATGTCTGAATTCAAAGCATTCATAAAAAAGTAAAAAAGGACCAACATACCCAACCATTTTTAAGAAGATTCTGAAGTGTGCAACTGATGGGCAAAACTTGACAGTGATATGGGCAACTTGACAGTGATATGGGGCCAAAAGACAGGATTCATAAATGGGTGACATGATACAACTAACGCTGTAATGAGAGTAATGAAAGTAAAACCAACTAAAATTGAATTCATACTACACAGAACTAATTTTTACATACCAAGTGTAGTACCTACTAAAGACCATTTCATTGTGGTCATGTCATTGGCCCATGAACATTTCCTATTTGTTATCAAACTATTTCATAACTGTAACAAGTGGCAATTTAACCATAACCTAATGTTAAAACAGCTGTCATAACATTATTTATCAATATGTTTTGGATTCACAGAAGCCATAAAAATGATAAATGTATAACAGGAAATATGTTGGGACCATTGTGTTTGTTTACATCCCTTACAATGTTCTATACCTATGCAATTTTGTTCCTGAAATATCTATCAGCTCAAACTATGTAAAATATTGTAATAAATATTATAAAAATAACAGAATAATAATACAACATGTCTTTAACTTTTGTCAATTTGTGTTGACTAGTCCAGACCTCAAGAATCTGTAAAATACAGCTCTTTGGTGCTTACTTTGGTTACTTCTTTGTAGTGTAATGCATTCCAACCTTTATTTTCTACATATACAAGCACTACAAGCTTTTTTACATTTTTCCTAAATATACCTTCATAAAACTTAATTTGATAAAAAAGTCAGGACTGTTTTTGAGTCACGTAACAGGGTCTATATATACGAATGTATACTTACTGCGTCTTCTATATCAATGCAGAGGGTTTGGTTTTTCTCCATTTTACCATAGAGCTCATTCAACCTTTTGTATCGGGGTTTGCAGTCCTTGCAGAGTTCAGAGTGGTTGTCCTGTTTAGAAAACAGGATATTTTAAAACTTCTGTCATTTATTTAAACTGAAACCCTGTCTACATACTGTATGTGAACTGTTTGATATTACCTTATATTGCTCAAAACAGCTGAGTGACTGATTCAAAGTGGCCATGAAGTAGCGAGTGTCATTGGTGAGAGCCTCTTCATGTTCAGTCAGACATTCTAATCAACAATATAAACCAAACTCAAAATCATCATAATATCCACTACTACATTATGTTGAATAAAAACTAGGTATTATGTTTCTTGAAAACTGACGTAATTTTATCTACTGCAAGTCTATCATCTGTTTAGAAGTGAAACTGAAAGAAACATGAATAAGGGAAGGATCAAGCCTGATGTCAATTTTAAGGGATGCAACATTATTACTTACGATCACATTTTGCTGATGTCCAGATGTCTTCTAAATTGCTGTAGAGGGTATAGAGCAGCATCAACCTATCAGAACGCGTCAGGCTGTCATGGCAACTGACATTTCCAGGGCCCTTTTATGAGGACAAACACACAAGATATGAAGTGTTTTGAATTAACTTCTACAGCCGCAGTCCATATAAGATTTATAATAGCTTAAATATGTTTTTCTATACCATTGTAGGAGATAATATAGAACACAGATGTAAAACCCATTTTGCTGTTTGTATCCACTAAAATGTAATAAATTTTATATACACTACTGGTCAAAAGTTTGGGGTCAGTATGATTTTTAAATGTTTTAAAATAAGCTTCTCCTGCTCACCATGGCTGCATTTATTTAATCAAAAATACAGTACAAATTGTGAAATGTTATTGCACAATTAAATAACTGTTCAAAAGTGGTTTATAATTTAATTTAATAATTTATTCAAGTGATTTTAAAGATGAATTTTCAGCTCAATTATTCCAGTCTTCAGAGTCACACGATCCATCAGAAACCACTCTAATATTAATTCTTCTTCTTCTTCTTCTTCTTGTAAATATTTAACAATTTTACTGTTTTTTTACATTTAATAAATGCCGCCTTAATGAACAGAATAATTTTCTTAAAAAAGAAAAAAAAAATGACCCCTAACTTTTGACTGATTTATTAACTGATTTATTTTATTTTGATGTTTTATCTTATTGTCATCCATGATGACGGTAAATAATATTTTACAAGATGTTGTTCAAGACACTTCTATACAGCTTAAAAGTGACTTTTATAGGCTTAACTGTTAATAAGCTCAACTAGGCAGGTTAGGGTAATTAGCCAAATTATTGTGTAACGATAGTTTGTTCTGTAGACTATGGAAAAAATATATATAGCTTAAAGGGGCTAATAATTTTGTCCTTGAAATTTTTTTTTAAAAATCAAAAACTGCTTTAATTCTAGCTGAAATACTACAAATAATACCTTCTCCAGCAGAAAAATTATTATCAGACATACTGTGAAAATTTCCTTGCTCTGTTAAACTTAATTTGGGAAAAAAATAATAATAATAATAATTCAAAGGGGGTTTAATAATTCTGATTTCAACTGTATATGAAGCCAAAACATTTATATATTTTCCATAGTCAAAATATATTTGAAATAAAGTTCCATCACTAAGCTTAACACACTTAACTGCGCTTAGTAAAATACATAAAAGAATGATCATACTGAACTTTTGATTATATTTCCAAATATTGAACAGTTCTTGTCAACAAATGGGTAAAACCAATGGTTAAAAGTTTTAAAATGACTATTAATGAGTAGTTTGTGGTGGCATTGTGACCCTTGAATATAGTTTTTAATATATCATAAAGGGTTACATGGTGGCTCAGTAGTTAGCACTGTCACCTCACAGCAAGAAGGTCGCTGGTTCAAGTCCCGGCTGGGTCAGTTGGCATTTTTATGAGGAGTTTGCATGTTCTCCCTGTGTTTGTGCGAGTTTTCTCCGGGTGCTCCTGTTTCCCCCACAGTCCAAACATATGCGGTACAGGTAAATTGGATAGAGTAAATTGTCCGTAGTGTATGAGTGGGAATGAGTGTGTATAGATGTTTCCCAGTGATGAGTTGCAGCTGGAAGGGCATCCGCTGCATAAAACATTTGCTGGATAAGTTGGCGGTTCATTCCGCTGTGGCAACCCCAGATTAATAAAGGGACTAAGCTGAAAAGAAATTTAATTAATTTATTAAATATATATTTAATATGGGGGGACACGGTGGCTCAGTAGTTAAGCACTGTCGCCTTACAGCAAGAAGGTCACTGGTTCGAGTCCCGGCTGGGTCAGTTGGCATTTCTGTGTGAGGTTTGCATGTTCTCCCCATTTTAGCGTGGTTTTCCTCCAGGTGCTTGAGTTTCCCCCACAGTCTGAAGACATGCGGTACAAGTAAATTGGGTAAAGTAAATTGTCTGTAGTGGATGAGTGTGTATAGATGTTTCCCAGTGATGGGTTGCAGCTGGAAGGGCATCCGCTTTGTTAAACATATGCTGGATAAGTTGGCGGTTCATTCCGTAGTGGCAACCCTAGATTAATAAAGGGACTAAGCTGAAAAGAAAATCAAATCAAATCAAAAGAAAAATGTGTGAGGTTTGCATGTTCTCCCCATTTTAGCGTGGGTTTCCTCCAGGTGCTCGGATTTTCCCCACAGTCTAAATACATGTGGTATAGGTGAATTGAATAAACTGAATTGGCCGTAGAGAATGTGTGTGCGCATGTAAGAGTGTATTGCCGTTTCCCAGTACGGGGTTGCAGCTGGAAGAGCTTCTGCTCCGCAAAACATATGCTGGATAAGTTGGCGGTTCATTCCGCTGTGGTGACCCCTGATGAATAAGGGACTAAGCCGAAGGAAAATGATTTAATGAATGAAATATACTTGACATGTGATCAAATGGTTGTTGTTGTTTAGAACTTGACAACTTATGACTTTTGAGTGGGTTTATTCTATAAATCATGGTAAAAACATGAGTCATTATATAGTTTGTTATATTTATGAAAAAAAATGTAATAACCCTATGAAGCCGTATTCTAAATTTGCCACTTCAACTTGAAATAGACTTTTAGGCTCACTAAATAGTTCCAGAGTCGGTGTGAGTCAGGTTATGTTGAAACACACACACACACACACACACACACACACACACACACACACACACACACACACAATCACGAGACACAAGAACATGTGACCAGCGGTAGGGAAATTGTGTCAAACAGCCTTAAAAAACACGGCATATTTGCTGTCATAACGTTAGATGTCGAGAAAACGAATGTTTGAAATTAGCACTCACTTGTCCTGATGATATATTTAGATATATCTCCTTCAGACCTTTAAAGCCAGTGTAACAGTTCTGACAGACTTTGACAGGTCGTGCATAAAACACAAGACAGTTAGCGAAAGTCACGTAGCGCTGGCCGTAAATGCGAAGCAGTTCAATACAATACTCGTTCACTTCCAAGTCCTCTGGAAATGATGAAAGGCTGAGAGAGTAGAAAAACTCCAAACTGTTCGCCTTTGATACAGGAATGACTGCTCCTGGAAGCTTTACTGCAACATCACCACTCATCTCCGCTGGAGAAATCAAACAGTTCATTAATGTAATAGTCCATGCTACAAACGAACATAACACCGCAATAGTACATTTTGATAAATCCATCTCTAATTTACACTGAATACAGTCCACAGCAAAACTCCAGAGCTTCCTGTTTTCTTTTTGTCCTGTGTCAGTCACATGACTCATGTTCTAATCTCGCGATGAACGGGATTTACATGACCGGTGCACCTGTCTTAAAACGTCCAAAACTAAAAGAAGTGTAAAGGAGCCCAGGTAAAGCAGCTTTCAGCTATTTGTGTCTGTAAAATGAAAAAAAAAATTTTGATTGTATTTTGATAGACTTTTAACACTGAATCTTTAAACGTGTTGCAGCAAAAAAAGCTAATTTAGGTTAAGTCAATGATGTTTCTGATTATGTAGCCTATTTAATCTGAAACATGTGAGGTGGCCTTTTGTTTATTTTGTTAAATTTACACTTTAATTTTTTTATTATTTGTGTTTTTTTAATACAACTCTTCTAACATTGTTTACTGTTAGGAAAATACAGTTCAAACTTTTGTGTTTTTAAAAGAAGTTTCTCCTGCTAACCGGGCTGCATTTAAAATGCCTAATAAAAAGCCAGTGGCCAATATTGTTAAATGTTATTTCGAATAGATTTTATGTAAATGTATTCTAATGAATTTAATCTAATTAATTTATTCTTGAGATTCAATGCTGATTTTTTCAACAGACAATTTTTGTTCAGAAAGAAATATTTGTAATTATCAATATTGAAAACAGTTGCTCTGTTTGATATTTTGTTCAAACCATGATTTATCATCTATTAATAAATAAATAAATTCCAAAGTTTTTTTTATATCCTATTCATTAATGACTTAAATTATTCAGATATGAGATTAATTATATTGATAAAGTATTTTCCTTCAATTAATAGCTGTTATTATTTCACACTATATTGATCAAAATGCATCACTCTTTCCACAAATACATGAAACTGACACAAAGAACTGAAGTTTTCAACATTAATAATAATTTGAATGACAGAGAACAATATTGATCACAAAAGAGCAAATCAAACCATGGGACATTGAAGCTCAGTATAGCAGTATCACATTACAAATATTTGTGGCGAGTAGAATAGTCTTATATAAGAATAATAAAAATATATATTTATAGGCTTTTTTTTTTTTTTTTACAGATTTTTTACTGTACTTGAGGGTGTTGCTACTACAGATTATGACTAATAAATTTGGTCACTTAGGAACAAGTTCAGTTCATAACAGTCCCTTTTGCTGCATAATGCAAATTTTCTTAGTTAATCACATAGAATACCCTATAAATTTATATGATATTACTGTCATATATTCAGTACTGTATCACAGAAGCTTAACGTAGTATTATAAATGTATCACATTTCAAACAAGATCTTTAAGGTGAGCAGAAGTGTTTTCTTTCAAACTACTACTACTACTACTACTACTACTACTACTACTACTACTACTACTACTACTAATAATAATAATAATAATAATAATAATAATAATAATAATAATATGATATATAGTTGAAGTCAGAATTATTAGCCCCCCTTTGAATTTTTTTTCTCTTTTAAATATTTCCCAAATTATGTTTTCAGATTATGTCTGATAACATTTTTTTTCTTCTGGAGAAAGTCCTATTTGTTTTATTTCGGCTGAAATAAAAGCAGTTTTTAATGCTTTATAAAAACATTTTAGGGACAAAATTATTAGCCCCTCTAATTTTTTTTGATAGTCTACAGAACAAACCATCGTTATACATTAACTTGCCTAACTACCCTAACCTGCCTAGTTAACCTAATTAACCTAGTTAAGCCTTTAAATGTCACTTTAAGCTGTATAGAAGTGTCTTGAAAAACATCTAGTAAAATATTATTTACTGTCATCATGGCAAAGATAAAATAAATCAGTTATTAGAAATTAGTTATTAAAACTATGTTTAGAAATGTGTTGAAGGAATCTCTCCGTTAAACAGAAATTGGGGGGAAAAAACAGGGATGGCTAAAAATTCAGGGGGGCTAATAATTCTGACTTCAACTGATATGTTTTTTTTTTTTTTTTTTTTTACTGGTTTTTAACAGTAACATACAGATTATCATCATTAAATTACTTTCATCATTAAGTTACTTAATTCAATTCATAACAGTCATTGTTGCAAAATGAGCAATTTCTCAGCTAATCACATAAAATATATTGTTTTTTATATTAAATTACTGTTGAATATTTATATTAATTATGGCTATTTAATATTAATCTTTAATCGAGATGCATTTTATAAGGTCAGCAGCATGACAGTATTTATGAAAATCTGAATTAAACAATTTGTTTCTGACTGTTCTTCTTTATTGTGTGTGTGTGTGTGTGTGTGTGTGTGTGTGTGTGTGTGTGTGTGTGTGTGTGTGTGTGTGTGTGTGTGTGTGTGTGTGTGTGTGTGTTGAGACAGTGCCTTTATATGAACATGCACAGCATCCTCTCTCTTCTCGGTTTTTGACATCGTGTGCAATTTCGCGAATGCGTTATAGCGCGCACGGCCAAAAAATAATTACGGAGTCAAGGTAAACGATCTGGGCTCCGATTCTGATTGTGTTAATTGTCGCAAACCCTCGAATCAAGCCACTGCAGTCAATGGTCTTTAATGTAAAATTAGTGCCTCTTGATAACTTGCAGTCCACGGCAATTCTGCAGTCATGAGAGCCTGATGGAAATAGGGGACTCAGAATGCCTCGCATTAAGGGCTATTCTACTGCGTGCGCTGATGTCTGAGGGTAAATTCGCAGGTTTTATGTCGGGGATTGTGGCATTAGCTCTTCACTACTACAGTGTAGCAGCTCTGTTATTGTGATAGCCTTAAATTGGATGATCCAAGTCATTTCCCCTCCTCAGGCAGCTGCTTTCAGCGGTTTGCAAGCTGAGTTTATGAACGAGGTGCGCAAAATCATTCAGTGATGCTAGATATAAGATATTTGTTATGAAAATAAGCCTATACATATATAGCCACATATGAAATCAAGGTTAGCCCACGAACCCTGGAGGAAATAAGATTATTGATCAGTGTGAAAATAATCAGGTTTTTTACACAGGCCTACAATTACCATGTGCATTAAGGGCTTGATTTGAATGCACAACGGAGACAGAGGCAATTGTGCGAGGACAAAAATCACTAATTAGGCTGCCTAAGTGAAGTATCTTCATCGAATGAAGAGCTCTTAAGCAAAAGGATGAGCCTGGATTACTTGGTTTAAATTTTGAAAATTGTTAATGCGTGTGGCTCAAGATTGTCCTAATGAAATTTTAAAACGTAAAAGCAGGTTTTTAAGGAACTACAAGAGACATTGATTTCATGGGTCATCTGACCCTCACATCACAATCATTGACTGAGGTAAATGATGCTTGGGATATGCGATGATATTAGCTATCACGAGAATAATTATTTTGTTCTTTAAATGAGAAATTAGCCTACATATCAGGCCTGTAGCCAAGGGGGAGGAGAATGACCAACCCCTCACTGACAAAGGTTCAAAATGTGTCCAATGCATGAGCTTATTTGTCCTATTTAGGCTGCCACGCCATCATAAATTGCAAAAATAACCCAACGAAAAAGCGTCCCTTCGGAGACCTTGGCTGTCTCTTTGATGCGACTTCAGCTAATCAGTTTTGACCTATGCTATTTTTTTCATGAGTCCAACATATAGCTGTGCAGGAAAACATACAATCTGATGTGGTCATCTTTTACTATAGTGACCTAAACTGCCCTATACTGATTTCAAATGGAGAAAATAGTGATTTTTATTCTGAATCTTGTACCTTAATCCTTAAACAAAATAATGACCAATAAAAAGGTGTGATCACCTGTGAAGCACCAAAAAAGCGACCCAAATTAAAATGAATTTAAATTATGATTTGGCTAATGTTGTTATCCATGAATTTTCATATGTAGTTTTTAACAAGAGAGGCTAGAAAAATGGTGAAGCTCTACATTAATATGTTATAATAATATATTTTTTTATTATTCAAATGCCCAGAATCTGACTGAGGAAAGTTGAATGTGATGGCCAGTTTGTTATTTGCCTGTATGACAATATATTTCAAACCATTCCCAGATTCCTGTTTTTATCTAATGACGTAATAATGTAATACATTTGTATTAAAAAATAAGTTTTTATTCATATTTCTTTATTCTAGATCTTTAGGAAATACTTTTAGTACATCAAAAAGTATAGTTATGATGACCAGCCGACAAGCCATTCCAGCTAAGAATAGTGCCTAATGTGAATAAAATACAGGCCTAGTATTTAAATCTAAAATTAAAATAATAAATGAGCCCATAACTGCAAAAAGGTTTACTTTTTGAGAAATCACTCAAAAGTGTCTTAAACATCGTTTTTGTAAAGTCTGTCTGTTTTTTATTTTTTATTTTTTTTATAAAGGTTATTTTTAATTTACAATAAATGTGAAAGTGGTCAAACCCTGTGACATTCGTTATAAATTATATTCTAAATGCATGAATTTGACATAAATACATAAATAAATAAATAAATAAATAAATAAATAAATAAATAAATAAATAAATAAATAAATAATTTAACCTATTTGCACGTTTGGTCGCGCATGTCTTGAACAGCATAATAAACATAGCTACATTTAACTTACCTATCACTCTTATCATGCAAAACAGATCAGCAAATAAAAGTCTCGTATTTGACACAGCTTTAACATGAAATAAAAATAGATGCTGTGATTGATCTCGAGCAGGTTGCTTCATTGCGCACTGTATATCAAGTAGCCTACTAATGCATGCCATATAAGTGACCAGTTAAGGGTTAACCAAAGACTGTGCGCTTTAATCTGTAGTCTAAACCTGAAGAGAGAGGAGCTGTAAAGTTATGCAGAAGTTATTCTCCATCCTTTGGGCCGTCCCTAATCCCCCAAAACCGAGTTCTTTTATGCGAGAACTGTGCCTCTTTTCTTGTTTAGCGCTGCCTATACAACATAAAGTCAGACTGCATTTAATGCTTATGGCGGGATGTGAGGGAGATTTTGCAAATGCGAGGCCCCCTTTCGCCGAAATATTGCTCTCTAAACGTCGTGTGAGTCTACCAACCCAACGCGACCCCAGAATCTCCCCCCGGTGTCTGACTCGAAT